CACCATACAGCTCTACACTGCTCCTTGTGGTTATGTGCATATTGCATTTCGGGGATACATAGCGTTACTTTCAGAGGACAACCAACGCTCCAAACCTTCTCTCTTCTCTCTTCGGGTTTCTGAAGTCGAGTTCTTTGATGTGATGAAAATGTTCTTCAGTGATGATGTTTTTTATTTTTATCCTCTCTCAGTGTCTCAGTCGTTCGAGCCGTCTCATCAGATCCTGAGTGAGAACATCGCCTCGGCTATCATTTTGCCGATCATCCTGGTCATCCTGCTGATCGGAGGAATTTACATGTGCTATACAAAGTGAGTGTGACGTCACTGTTCTGTGTGTGTTTTCTTCCCCTGCACTGTGCACTCTGGATTCTTTATCTGTCGCTCTATTGGCTCTCTCTCTCGCTCAGCATATGCAGACTAGAGTGGAAGCCGCTCTTCTGGAAGTCTCTTTCTCACACACACTCCTACAGTCCCATCACAGTCGAGTCCGATTTCAACAACCCTCTTTACGAGGCGGGGGTGAGTAGAAAACAAACCCTTCAGACCTTAGACTCATTTCTATCAGGGTTCATGTGGATCATGTGTAGTCTTAAAAAGTCTTGAATTAAATATTTAAGGTGGGTTTTTTTAATTTTTTATACTAGTGAGAGGGCTTAAAGGGTCAATCAGTGAGATGTGTAGAGAGTGAAATGATAAAGTGACCTTACTATATGATCAGACATTAAGGAAACATGTTGAAGTGCTGTGTCCTCCTTCTAACTTTAGATTCTGGTCCTGAATGCTCTGGATTTGTTTGGACTCAGAAAAGGTAGGCGGTTTTAAGGCACCCCCCACACGGCCGTTTTGGACACCCCTCGGTTTGCCAGATATGAGAGCAGTTATCAGGTCAAACCAACAGGTGTTGCAGCGATGGAAGCGGGCAAGAGAACTGGTTCAGATAGACGTGATTGTGCCCGACCTAAAAAGCCTCTGCATGTTTCTAATAAGCTCCAGAAGCAGAAACGTGCTTAAAACTAGGATCAATATTTGAGATGCTTTTAAAAAATGGAGAGAGGTTAGACCGCAGAAAGGTTTTGATTTACAAAGCCTTACTATTTTTTCAACTATATTTTAAAAAAACAAAACCTGTGGCCCGCGAGCGATTCTAACACGACAATTTTGGCCCGCAAGAAAAAAAGTTTGGACCCCACTGCTCTAAGTGTTTCATCTGTTGTTGTGGTACTGTTTACGAAGGCAGTGTTTATTTAATTCTCCTATCTATCAATCTAATTCTTTATTTAATAAAGTCTCTGTTGAATGGTGTTACATGTGTACAGATGTGTTTTCTTTCCTTCACATAACACATAGTTTTATTTATTTTCTTAATCAGGGGACATTGTGCAACAACGTCGAAAAAAAGAAAAATGAAAAGATGGTTGCACTCAAATTTAGCGAGTCGCTTATTTCCATCTGTACTGACAATAATATTAATAACTTTATTAACATAGCACCTTTAGAAACTAAACAATAAAAACAACTGAGGGATTATACTAAGCAGTATAAAATGTTTCTGCTATTTACTGAAAAGTTCACACTGTCAATTTCTTTAAACCATTGACTGAAGTGTAATGTAATGGACTAAAATAATATTGGTTTGGTACGAATCAAACTCTACGCAGTCGTTTCTGAATTCGTTTTGGATATTTTATTTTGAAAGTATTTTCCGAAAGCGTTTATTGCCACATTGGGGAAGGTCGAGGGTTCAATCCCCAGCTGGGCAACATGTTCGATGTGTCCTTGGGCAAGACACTTAACCCCGAATTGCTCCCGCTGCTTCGGTGGCAGTGTATGAATGGCATTAATTACTTCTGATGGATGATACTACATAGTGATCATCACTACCATCAGTGTGTGAATGGGTGGGTGTGACATGTGGTGTAAAAGCGCTTTGAGTAGTTGGAAGACTAGAAAAGCGCTATATAAGCTCAAGTCCATTATCATTTACATTAGCGCCAACTTAACTGAGTTGTTGTTGCTGCAGTTCACTACTGTGACCACTAGATGGCAGCAACGACTCGTGAATTTACACCATGAGGAACTTTTTTTTTTTTAATTGCGTTGAGCAAATTTCAAAACATGTGCAAGAAAATAATCAAAAAGTGAGTAATGATGCTCCTTTTAATGTCGACGAATTACAGTAACAATGACTTGATTATTGTTTAATATTTGTGACATATGCCCCATGGGAAACTTCATGTGACATCACGTATCAGCTGGGCACCACCGTCACCTTCGCCTGCTCCCCGGGCGAAGGTGAGTGTATTGACCCGAGCAATCCCCATGACAGCGAGCCCGTGTGCAGAGGTGCGTGCCAAACGCTCTCATTCCAAGATCTGTCCTTCGTTGTGCCTGAGCTTCATTTTGTTGATTTGACTGATTTGCGCTCACTGGAATGAAAATAAGATATAAAGCAATTAGTAAAACAAATAGTTTTAAGGATACGGCCATGTACCGAGCTCATGTTAATAATAAATGAGTTACTGTATGTTCTGTACTAAAGCACAGACAGTTGGGACCTGTTAATGATTTAAATAATTCAGGTTATATTTGTTTCATGTTAAGATTAAGTACTATCCACAATAAATTGCTTAATTTTTCCTCACACAAAATCTGAGACCATTTGATGTGGAATATCATTGTGCAAGTGAGTGAGAGAGCTGAAAATAGCATGATTACAATAATGTTTATCTTCTTAACTTTGAATAGATGTTGATTACCTGAATACTGTACCTTTGTTGTCTGGGTAGTACACTGTTGAATTTATAAATGTGCTCTTACACACAGATGAATACAGAAAATGCACAAAAAAATGATTTAATGAATAACTGATATTTTCTCTCTTTCTTTGCCATCCTGAAGACCCCTCACTACAAGTCCATCTTCTCCTGGATCCATGTCACATGCTCGAGCTTCTTCTGAATTACTTTTCAACAGTCGAAGTTCTGCTGAGAGAAGATGGCCAGCAGATAAGACGGCAGTACATCAAGGAGCTCCACAGGCTTCAGGAGAAGGAGGAGGAGGGTTTGCACCTTGGAAGACTGTATTCATGCTGTTCAAATAAAACTAGATCTCCTCCAAACAACTTGCAATCAAACCATTTTCTTCCCATTTTAAAACCCTTTGTCCAGTTTAGATGGGAGAAGTTGATATTGTGTGATATTGATCAGGGAAGACTATATTTCTAAATCATTTTTAACTGTGTTTTTGATCTTATTTACTCTCGGTGTATCTTGATTTAAGAATGGGGCTGTGTTTAAGGGCATATTTTTGCAATGACTCTGTTCCATCCCACTTTCAGAAATGAACTGCATTAGTATTTGATAAAAAAAAATGTCAAAAGAATAACAAGTTGTGTAAAAGTAGACTTCCTTCCCTTAGCTATTGAGTTGAGCATTAATGCACATTTTAGTCTTTTCATTTCAAATCTGAAATGTATACTCATAAGTAGACATAAAGGAGTGCATTTCTATAGAAATATTTATTTAATCTGAAAAACCACATTCAAAAAGCCTGTTTTTACAGCAGAGATTAACATGTTTACAGCTTGGTACAAAACAAACAAATAGGTCTGATTAGCTTATGTCTCGATCGACACACACTGTACGGGGGGGGGGGGTGAATGTTTTGATGAAGGATAAGAGTTATTCACAATAAGGCGTGTAGCTGACCAGCTTGACAGGCGGGTGCGGTGTAACGGTTTGTCAAGAGGCTTAAAACCCACCTCAGCTCCAGCTCTCAGTCTGTGGGTGTCATCACTCAGGCCATCCGGGGGAGACCTCCCTCGCAGCGCGTTATTGAAGAAGGGAAGCAACCGAAGTCCACCCCAGAAGAACCAACAAATGCAGATGTTGTTGAGGCTCAGGTTTCTCCCTCTGTCTCTGCAGCTCTCTGGGCACCTCGACGGACCAGTCACCAATAATCCACACTGTGTCTATAGGAGAAATACAAAGGTGTTCAATTAATGCCTCAGACAAGACAAAATGTACAGTTAACTACATGTGACAGCTCAGGGTGTTTTTTTGTTATTAGCCACATCTGCAGGAATAATATTGAACAAGGTAGCTGCAACTCCTAATAATAGATGCCAGTCTTAAACACTATTTTTTCTAATACTTAAAGTTTTTGGTGTGAAGCTGACACTGTCCACAGACTTCATGACTTTACGGGGTTCAATAGAAAACAAATGTCTTGTAATAAATACTAAATAATTATTTTTCAATTGTCATGTTCACCCACATCGCTGTTGACATCAGTAAATATAAGACACAGAAATTCCTCTTTTTGTCAGAACAGTAACATGAACTGTATGCTTTGTAATATTGATTTCTTTTGGATGTCTCATATTTATTTACAGTCTATGGTCTAACAGTAGTTTTATACAAACTTGCTTCCACGTCTTCAACAACAAGAAACCCGAGGAGCAGACCCAGGTGACAAGACTCATAGAAAAGATTCAGCAGGAATCTCTGTAGGAACCTGAGGTCAGAACCGGAGGGTCACCAGATCAAGTCCTGGTACGGACCAAAATATGTAAATTGGTCTAGTAGCTCGAGGTGCCAAGGCACTTCCCGAGTACTGCCACTAGATGGAGCTTTTGAACAGCTGAAGTTTTCATACCCCTGGACTGGTACAAGGAAATGCAAACACATTAAATAGTTTCTATTTCCTTTTGTAGTTCACCAACGTATCAGAGTTTGACCAAATGTCAGATTTCTAAATGTGGTTTAACTTCAGTACAGGAGGTCAACCACCAAGTTAGAAATCTTTTGACACAGTAAGATACAGTATTTCTATATTCATACTTTAAATTACATTATTTGGAATCGTAGTCCAAGTTGTAAAGAACATTATTCAAGCCCTTCAAACTTGTGAAACCTTAAACTGTAGAGCAATGGGTCATCTATTTGTTCCAAACGCCTCATAAAACAGTTTTATACTTTCACTTTCGCATTTGAGCGTCAGCAAAAAAGGACACTGGGGAGGGGACTGATCAGCAAACTGTCAAACTCGGTCGCAAACTGTTTCAACCCCTGACATTGCACTGTGTATTTAGGAGACTGCTTGGTGACACAGCAGCTCGATCTATATCTGCCATGGACGCCGAAGCCCTACCTGCTGCAGGCCAAGAAGATCAGAAGAAAGGTAATTATGGAAAACAAGTGTTAACTTACTGTCTAAATCTCTGAGTTAGTCTCTCTGATTTTAGATGCTTCAAGTGGAAAAGTCTTTCAAAATGAACGGAACCTTAACTTTTTTTCATGGTGGGTTTTCACATTTTAACCGTGAACGATTGCCCCCCCCCCCAAACCCCCTGGTTAGGAGAACTGGTCTGCGTTCACATTACTATAGAGATGTGTTCGGGTGATCAGATCTGCTCGGGGTCCTTTGCGTGCTTTTGTATGATGATGTTGTGATTGGCTGTCAGAGAGTCGGAGAGAGAGAATAATGTCTGCTCATGAAAGAGGATGAAGTCAAACACACAGCTTCCTTTCATTTCACAATGTTGATCAGAGTTCATGTCTGAACGTATTTAGGCTACATACCAATATTCAATGTTTGTAATGACGCCACCTACTGGTTACAGACAGTAACCTCTCATGTAACATGTTTCACTCGTCTAACATCAAATGCAGGCTACACCATGTGCTATCACTTCCTGTGATGTCTAAATGGCAGCTTAAACCAGTTTGGACTGCTTGTGTATTTAAAAAGACGCAGGTCCCCGTGCAGATGTGGCAACTTGTGCAGATGTGTGTATAAATGATTGACTAGAATTGCATCAATGAAGGTATAATGTATTTTTAGGATTAAAAATCCAGACTCTGAGGAAGACGCAGAGCATCGAAATGTTAGTCTTTTGCACCTATATAAAATTTGCCTTAAGTGATCTGTGTGCTCCAGTTTTTTATTTGGATCCTGTCTGAAAGAAGGCGTCCACTGAATTCAAATTTTTTAATGCCTTATGATTATGTTAACAACTCAGCCACAATTTCTATTTACCGGTTAGCATTATATATGGTTGAGTTATAAATCATTGCTTTGTTAAACATTTTGGGAAACCTCCAACCGTGTGTTTGTCCCTTAGACTGTATTAAACATGAACGTAGTCTCAGTGACGCTCCCCATTGGTTTTTAAAGAGGCGATATGACACCAATGATGGCAGTAGACCTTGTTGACAAAATGGAAGTCATAGCAGCACATATGAGAAATGAGAACAATGGTGGTCAAGGTTAAGAACATCAATAAAGAGAGAAAGATCATTGTGTTAAGTAAAATGTTTCCTATCTTTTGAATTCACAGAGCCTCTAAGGATCGTGCTTCTTGGGAAGAGTGGAGCCGGCAAGAGCTCAAGTGGGAACACCATCCTCGGGAGACATGAGTTTAAATCAGACATGAGGGTGGTGAGAGTCACTCTACACTGTGAAAAGGGGGACGGGACTGTGAAGGATGTGCCCGTGGATGAGAATGGGAAAGTTGAGGATGTTCCTGTCTCTGTTATTGACACACCCGGCTTTTTTGAGCTAGATCGTAAGGAGGAAATAATGCGAGAGATTCTCAAGCGTGTCAAACTCCAGGAGCCAGGACCTCACGCCTTCGTGTTTGTAGTCCCTGTAGGACGGATGACCCAGGAGGATCGAGATACCCAGACGCTGATCGAGGCAAAGTTTGGCCCTAGAGTTTGGGACCACACCGTCGTGCTGTTCACCCATGGGGATCGATTGGAGGGGAAAACAATAAGAGACGTTGTTGCCGAGAGCGACGACAAGTTCCGCAACTTCATACGCAAGTGCAGCGGCGGCTTCTGCGTCTTCAACAACAACAAACCCGAGGAGCAGACCCAGGTGACAAGACTCATAGAAAAGATTCAGACCCTGGTAGCCCTGAATGGAGGGGGGCATTACCACAACGACCTGTATCCTGAAGAAGAGAGGAAGATCAGGAAGAGACAGGAGGACATCCTGGCAGAGAGAGATGATGAGATCAGGTGCAAGGAGAGACAGCTGGAGGAGCATCACAAGGACAAAGAGCTGGAGATAAAGAAGAGGGCGCTGTGGAGGAAAGAAGAGGAAAATGCAAGGCTGGCTGCAGAGAAGCAGAGAAAGAGGATCCCCGACAATTGGAACATTCTAATTCGCACATTATGTGTATTAGTAATAGTAATAGCAATCATTTTATGTTTTTATCATCCAGAAGAAGAGTCAACCTCAAATGCAGAATTTCCAAATCCTGATGCTCTTTAAGTAGCCTCTACATGCTGGCTCCAAAGCAGAGTTCCCCCATTAGACCTTCTAGCCTTGTAGTAAAACTAATAGCTGATTTCTCTATTCATGACAACTATACAGGGCTACATTTTGAAATAATTCATCCATTTAGATTCATTGGGCCTCTGAGTCAGTCGTTCTCAATTCAGGAGCCACCACCAATTCCTTAATGAGAAATCGTCACCCAAATGTATGGAAATTTCAATCAATCAGATTTCTTTAATGAATGCAGTTTGGACCTTAGATGGTACAAAATATGTGACAGGAAAAAGAGAATCACACAACCAACAGGTTCCAAAAGTGAGATACAAGTCATAGAATTTTTGGCACAAGTATTTGGTACATGGCCGATGTATGCATTTTCTTTGTATGGGTCATTTGTGTTATGGATGTTTGTTTGTTATAGTATATGTCTATGTCCCCTAACCACAAGTGTGACCTATAATGCTTATATTTTAGTTTGACAGCCTCACTAGAGAATGTGGTGGCGTTCAAAGAAAACCCTGAAAAGGTGTTTTAGCGCTAGATGTTTATAGATGTTTATAGGCCTGATCAAATACAGGATCAGAGTGGATTTTTACAGACATGGTTTGGGGAGCTCTGAGAATTATTTAAACTTGTTGAAAAGGAAAATAATATTTGACCTTTAAGATAACAAGTTAATCTACTGTCTTGTAACACAACCATTGAAGTTGGTTTACAAAAAGCACACCGTCTCAAACTGTATAAAATAGCATGAAAGAAAATTTATGTTTAAGAAATATAAAATAATTAAAGAACAATGATTTGATACAGGATTTGTGTAATGACAGTATAGTTATAATAAAGATGATAACATAATGCAGTGTGTTTTTTTCTGCTATACTTTTTGCTACTGTTAGCTGTGTTATAGTGTAATATAATAGTAGTGATACTGGTCTCCAGGGCTAAAACAGCCTCTTGGACATACTTCAGGGTAACAATCAGGATTGATCCACCTCTGACCTGCACTGAGCTTCACCTGAAGTCTCTAGCTGTGCCTCTGTCCATTCACTATGGACTGTCTGACTGAAAAGATTCCTGTATATGAGGTGAGAATTCTGGTATCAACCCTTAGGCGGGGAGGGCTTCTTCTTTGGTCTTTGTATAACACTGTCTCAAATCAGGACCAGTTATTTCTTTGAGGTTTGGTGAGCATTACCATGTGACCTGTTTCCTTCTCTTTTTTCTTTTTCTTTTTCTTGACCTCGATGGTTTTGTACTTTTTAATGTTTGGATAAGACAGCCTCTCCCTTGTCATTGAAGCTTTGTCTTTTTGTCTTTTTTTTATGAAGATGTTTTGGAACTTCACTATCTCTGCTTTCGCAGCCTTTGGGTTAATTTCCTACCACAACTGAAGCTATTGAGCACTAGTCCTTCCCTTTTTTCCCCCTCTGCATACTTTCACTTTTACATTACAGAAGCTGGGAGGGGACCAATCAGAACAAACAAGTCTAACCAAAACTTTTTCTCATAAACTGCTTCAAACACGACTGTGACAAAGACGTGGAAATTTTTGGTTTGCGCAACACAATAGATCTTTGTTTGCCATGAACTCTGGAAGCATGACCGATGCAGAGCAAGAGGAGGATCCAAAACAAGGTAAGAATGGACAAGAAGTGTTAATGCAAGTGTTTGAGTCAGTCTCTCTCTTTTGAGCTGATTAAAAATACCAAATTCTTTAAATCAAACTAAACTATGTTTTAAAAGATTTCACTTTGTGTCACTGAGCAACCAAACTTTTTTTTTTTACTTACAGCTGTAGTTTTACGTTTCATATCTCTCACTTGTATTAAGTACATGAGCTGCTGCATGCTTGTCTTATAAAGGAAATGAGTGAAACAGAAAGTGGTTTTACATGAGTTTTTGTTTTTCTACAATTCTTTAAGCAGATGATTTTGTCAAAATCATCGACATCTGAGAATTAGTAGCACTACAAATCAAGCAAGGATCTAGAGAGGAGGAGACAATGATAAGTGCTAACACAAAGCCTTAAAAGGCACTGACAGGCAGGTCACAGAGGAAAAGCACGTATTGTATCTTAGATTTGTTTTATAGGCTATCTGTGGTTTTTCGTGCACACTCAGTCTGGGGCCACTGTGAAGGCAAACCAAGTAAAACATAATACTAAAACTTTAACCCTTCACTGCCTATAGACCAGTCAGGGTACAGCATGTCCTATCACCTCATGTCCTTCAGTGACATGAGGGCTGCAAACGAGTTATAGCTCTGTGAGCTGCCATCTGAGAGTCGATTCAATGTGGTAGTTTTTCATTTTATTTATTTATTTTTATTTTTATTATATTTATTTTTCGTTTTTAATTTAATACAAACTAGAGACAGATAGTGTAGAAAAGGCCCCAAAGTTACATGTTAAGGTTTTTGCTTTATGTTAATATAGTGTTTGATTCCTGTTCTGTTTAATGTGATGATATTGTGCTCAATAGGGGAGAGGTGTCACCTGCTGGTCATATAGCGAATTACATCATGTAGTAATGAGCAGTGTGCATCAGTCGATAACAGATGATAAGATAAGATAAGATGTGTTTATTGTCACTGTACAAGTACAACGAAATATTGTTGGAGCAAGCCTGTAGATGCCTAATATCAGAAATATACAAATACTAAAACCAAATATTCAAATAAGAAATACAATTAAATAATACAATATAGTATACAATATACAATTAATTTGCAGGTGACAGGTATGGAATAAATATATTGCACTTCGTCTTATATGTGATATTGTGTGTTCTTTAATGTTGGGGCAAAGTTGTTAACTCCCGCGGAGCTGGAGTTTAGATTTTAGAGTTTAGATGTTCGGCGTATTCTAGATATGCTAATTTGTCTACGTCACATGCTTGCTAAATGTCCCCCGGCTCAGTTGGAGCTACACAGAAGTTGAATAAGAGTCATGTCAAATTCATTACATGTTTGTGCTTAGCCTACCTTGCAGTGGCGGTTCTAGACCACTTTTACTGAGGGGGCCAAACAGGGGCCAGTTGTTTTGTCAGAGGGGAACATTAAACCCTGGTGAAAAATACACAAAGATGATCGCTTTAAAATATATATATATTATGCCAAATAATAGCGTGAACCATAAAATACCATGATTTAAAATTTGTTTCAGTAACAGAATTTAATACTAGATTGTGAGTCCGGTTGTTGAGTCAAATACTGGGGGGGGGGGGGTTCTTCCTTTTGGAGGGTGGCCACAGGGGGGACCAAGCTCAGTGTTACAGGGGCACCCTGTTGGCCCCTGCCTAGAACCGCCCATGCTAACTAGTGCTAATTCTTGCCCGTGTTAATAACAGTGTTATTTTAGTTGCCTGTTAGTTACAAGGTTTGCTAACTGTGTGGCTCTCTGCATGAGGAGGATAATTTGATGTCCGTGCTTCACAATAAAAGCATCGTAGTATTTTTTATAGGGGAATGATTGTAAGACTGTTAAACCTATGATAGCCTTTCTGTGTTTAATACTTTAGGTTAAAAAGACATGTAGCTTACATTTATTTATTTACATATTATAACCTATTACATTACTGTTTTGTATGTTTTTATAGAGGTAAGATGAAGCATTCAGATTTGTGTATATTCTGCTATTCTTTTTGTTATAGAAAACCACAACAAGCGAATTAATGTTCATGGTTGTATAAATATTGCTGTCAGAATATTTTGAACTCCAGTTTATCAGTCACACATTTTTTTTTTTTTTTTACCATAACTCAGAGTAGGTCTAAGTTCATTGTAGAAATGATTGTGTTGGTGTTTAAGAAAATGCAGGCATATGAAATCAGAAAAGTCTCACGTTTGAATTGTTTCCTATCTGTTGATTTCACAGAGCCTTTGAGGATCATGCTTTTTGGGAAAGGCGGGGTTGGCAAGAGCTGCAGTGGGAACACCATCCTCGGGAGATATGAGTTCAAATCAGACATGAGGGTGGTGAGAGTCACTCCACACTGTGAAAAGGGGGAAGGGATTGTCAAGGACATGCTTGTGGATGAGGCTGGGACAGTTGAGGATGTTCCTGTCGCAATCATTGACACCCCTGGCCTGTTTGAAAAAGACAGCAAGCGGGAAGAAATTGTGCAAAAGATTCTGAAGTGTGTCAAACTCCAGGAGCCAGGACCTCACGCCTTCGTGCTTGTTGTCCCTGTAGGTCGGATGACCCAGGAGGATCAAAACACCCAGGCTATGATCGAAGCAATGTTTGGCCCTAGAGTTTGGGACTACACCATCGTGCTGTTCACCCATGGGGATCGATTGGAGGGGAAAACAATAAACGACGTTGTTGCAGAGAGCGACGAAAACCTCCGAAACTTCATACGCAAGTGCAGCGGCGGCTTCCACGTCTTCAACAACAAGAAACCCGAGGATCAGACCCAGGTGACAAGACTCATCGAAAAGATTCAGACCCTGGTAGCCCTGAATGGAGGGGGGCATTACCACAACGACCTGTATCCTGAAGAAGAGAGGAAGATCAGGAAGAGACAGGAGGCCATCCTGGCAGAGAGAGAAGCTGAGATCAGGCGCAAGGAGAGAGAGCTGGAGGAGCATCACAAGGACAAAGAGCTGGAGATGAAGAAGAGGGCGCTGTGGAGGAAAGAAGAGGACAATTCAAGGCTGGCTGCAGAGAAGGAGACCAAGAGGGAGTCCAACATAAAGATCATTTTGAGCTCCATCCTGGTGTTACTTCTGAGTGGTTGGGCTCTCCAAGCACCAAACATGTGGCCATTGGCTGTATTAGCTATTTTGATTTGGTGCGTCTTTAATGGCTTACCATTTCATTCAGAAAAAATACCATGGCTTTCCAAGAAAAAAATATAGTTGAGATATCAATGCACCGTTAGTAATCAGTCATGCCGTGTATTACTGAAGTCTAGAACAGATCTTCAACAACATTAATGTAAGAAATGCACCAGCCTGAAAAACGTTTTTTGTCATCATGAACTCAATGCAAATGATCATGATTAAAATCATATGAACTGTTCACTTCTGTAAACCTCAATGACTGGGCTGTTTTTATGACAAGCTTTACAATTGAGTGCATTACTTTGTAAGACCAGTAAAATTAATAAAAAACATTCTTCTTCAACTTTCAATTTATAAGGTGTTGTCTGACTGGTTTAGAAAGCAATGAAGGCTGAGTTACATGACATCACCATCCTCATTCACGCACAGTCTGCTCCGGTCCCTCCTCAGCGGACCAAACATTTGGATGATGACCACTTGATTTGTGTGAGAAAGACTACTGTAAACTTGTATAACATTCAGCTGAACTCGATTATTTTCACAGACAGACTGCAGATTAAACCCAACATTTAATGAAGGTGAGGGGGCGGCAATAGCTCTGTCTGTAGGAACCTGAGATCAGAACCAATGAACAATTCAAGGCTGGCTGCAGAGAAAGAGACCAAGAGGAAGTCCAACATAAGGATCATTTTGAGCTCCATCCTGGTGTTACTTCTGAGTGGTTGGGCTCTCCAAGCACCAAACATGTGGCCATTGGCTGTATTAGCTATTTTGATTTGGTGCGTCTTTAATGGCTTACCATTTAATTCAGAAGAAATACCATGGCTTTCCAAGAAATTAATATAGTTGAGATATCAATGCACCGTTAGTAATCAGTCATGCCGTGTATTACTGAAGTCTAGAACAGATCTTCAACATTAATGCAAGAAATGCAGAATAAAAGCACAGAAAACACGAGTAGATTTTATTTTATGACTTTTGTTTCTTATGATTAAGAATTAATTATTTAATTAATAATTAATAATGAATAAACATTTAAATGTGCGTGTAAGATAGCCTATATGACGTATAATGCACTGTTATAATCAGTCAGTCTTGTCTATTAATAAGTTACATAAAGAATGATTTATTATCCTTTAAGTTTTTGGTGATGTTTGATATTGTGACTTTATATATGATGAGAAATAAAGAATGAAAGAAGTTCTTGGTAAGTTTTGACAATGCTTTTTTGTATTTTATTTTTTGTTGTTGCTCAATTTAGCTGCCATTCATTCTATTTTTCAAACATTATGAAATGAAATAACTATTCCAGATGTCTATAATTAAATATTTAATATTCTTAACTGAATTATAACAATTAACAACTGCACTATATGTATTTGAAATGGGAGTTTATCTTAAGAAGAACTCCATAGAAAAAAAAAGTGACGTAAATGAACGAAGTGGAACGGACGCTGTGGATATCTATTGTTGATACAATTGTTGATAGTAAAAATGCAACGTGGGAATATCTTTACTACCAAAGAATAACGTTTTGACTAGGAGAATTTTTAAAAGTGATATTTAAAATGAAATAGTATTAGTATTAGCATCTCAACTTAAAATCCACCTCTCTGCCAATGACCTCTATGAATCATTCCAATCTGATTTCCGTTCCCACCACAGCACCGAAACAGCTCTCCTCAAGATCACAAACGACCTTCTCCTCTCCTCTGATGCCAGAAATCTCAACATCCTCATCCTACTGGACCTAAGTGCAGCTTTTGACACCATCAACCATTCCATCCTTCTCTCCCGCTTTGAAACCACCTTCAACATCACCGACACTGCACTCTCCTGGCTCAAATCATACCTCTCGGACAGATACCAGTTCATCAGCATCAACTACTGCAAATCCCCCACTGCTCCTCTCTCCCAAGGTGTTCCCCAAGGTTCTGTACTAGGTCCCCTCCTCTTTATCATGTACATGCTCCCCCCTGGTCACATCATCCGCCGCCATGGTCTCCAGTTTCACTGTTCTGCTGACGACATCCAGCTCCACATTGCCACCAAAGCCATCACTCCTGCCACTCACTCAATCCTCACTGACTGCATCACTGAAATAAAATCCTGGCTTCAAACCAACCTTCTCAAACTCAACTGCGACAAATCAGAAGTAATCATCATCGGCCCCAAATCCCTCATCAAATCCACCAACAACTTCTCCCTCACCATCGATGGCTCTACAGTGCTCCCTTCCCCCCTCATCCATAACCTTGGTGTCATCTTGGACCAAACCCTCTCCTACGACAAACACATCAAACACATCACCAAAACAGCCTTTTTCCACCTCAAAAACATCGCCTGCCTCCGCCCATCCCTCTCATTTTCAGCTGCCGAGACCCTCACCCACGCATTCATTACCTCCAGAATAGACTATTGCAACAGTCTCCTCTACGGATCACCATCACACTCACTCAAGAAACTCCAATACATTCAGAACTCTGCAGCCCGTCTCCTCACACACTCCCGCACCAGAGACCACATCACCCCCCGTCCTTCATGACCTCCACTGGCTCCCCATCCCCCCAGCGTATCAACTTCAAGCTCCTCATCATCACCTTCAAAGCCCTTCACAACCTGGCTCCTTCCCCCCTACCTGTCTCACCTCCTGCACCGACACACTCCCACCCGCACTCTCAGGTCTGCAGATACCCCCCTCCCCCCCCTTGCAGGACCAACCTTCGGTCCTTCGGCATTCTCTGTTGCTGCTCCCACCCTCTGGAACTCACTCCCAAAAAACATCAGAGACTCCCCCACACTCACCTCCTTCAAGAAATCCCTCAAAACTCACCTCTTCAACATTGCCTACAACCACTAACTCCCCCCTCCCCCTACATTACTTCTTCATTGCACTGTCCTCGTCGTTTATGGTTTTATATTTTGTCAAAGCGTCTTTGGGTTCCTAGAAATAAAAAAAACCAATGTATTATTATTATTATTATTATTATTATTATTAGTGACGCTGTCTTCGTCTGTCACTTCAGTGGCTCCTCACAGTGCGCTTATTTCTTTAAAGACAGCGCCCTCTGGTGGTAACGTCGCGAAACAGACTCTCCTTTACGACTGGGTGAAAAATCATTTTGTGGGAGCGGCTGAAATTCAAACTTAAGTTTCGTTTCCATCGCGGGACTGTTGCAGAAGTTAGGAGGTAAGACCGTGTGATTGTAGCCAAAACAAACAAACGCGATTATATGTAATGTTTTCTTTTTTTTTTGTGTCAGTCAGTGAATATGAATAGGCTACATTATGTGTTAAAGCTTCTAACGATTGGTTTAGTGTCATGAGTCACGAGTTTCTTTACATGGTTTTCATTCCACGTCCTATCAGACTTTCATATTCAGAGGTGTGATATGACTTTCCTTGATTTTATGAGCATATACATGATACACATACCTGCTTTAACCACTACTACTGACATTGTAGCCTTAAATCTATACTATTATTTTTTGTTCTGTCTCTATCTTCAACTCAGTTTCAGCAGATGACTGTTCATCATTAATCTGATTCTGCTCGAGGTTTCTGCCTCTTAAAGGCACTCGTTGTTGTTAAATGGTCTTTGGAAAATGTTTTACATTTCGCCTTTCTTTTCGTTGTTGGTGTCAGATTATTAATCACATAATGGTGATGAGCGCTAGTTGTGTGTGTGTGTGTGTGTGTGTGTGTGTGTGTGTGTGTGTGTGTGTGTGTGTGTGTGTGTGTGTGTGTGCCCCCGTCAGACACACACTCAAACTGTTGAGGAGGAGAGATGAGGTGCAGCCACACCATAACTCAGTAAAAACTCAAATTACAATGATTTGACTTAAATATTTGATTTAAAAACATACATAACTGACATCAGCAAAGGAAGTAAAAAAAAACAAAAAAAAAAAACAGGTTTAAAAAAAAAAAGAGAGTAAATGAAGCGTTTTGCTTATTATGTCCCACACAGAATCAGAAGAAATAGACTTTAGAAGAGATTGTACCCAAAACAAATATGTCCAGGTGAAAACAAAGTCCAAGGTTTAATATATTGTCTTTCCATGATCAACTCTCAGAAATACATGAGAGTGAAATGCTGTTCTCCTCAAATCAGGCACATTTAAAAAAAAACAAAAAACAAAGAGATACAAAGCCTACATAAAAAGAAAACACGATGCATAACAGAGACAGGACGCCAGATGGTTTAAAGCAAAAGGTTCTAAAGAAATGCTTCGAATCCAATAACTCTTTAGATCAGAATTAACATCAGCATTTAATTATTCATGTGTTGTTCTGTTTTTGATTTTTTTTTTTAAAGATGACCGGTGAAGAAAATGAGAACAAGACATTCCTTAGAAGAGGAAGAAAGCGAGGAAGAAGCTATAGGCAGAAGAGTTAGCCAAAGACAAAGAAAGAGAATCAAATATAATTTTGATGTAGAACAGGAAGAAGATTATTATTATGAAGATGAGGATGAGGATGAGGAAGACAACGGGCAACCAGGCCCGTCCGACGGCTCCAACCACAACCAACAACCAAGTGCACACAACAACAGTGGGTGTTCATTTGTCCTCTAAAAGATATCTTTAATGTATTTTTGACAACATATATTCCACATTAAAGATAAAAAAAAAAAACAATAGCGTCTTACCAATATTTGTACGGCAAGTTGCTTTTCATTTCATGTCTTCACAACGATGCCTGAGACATAAAAACACAGTCACGGTAATTTCTTGTCATGTCCTGCTAATGAACGAGCCAAAGTTCAAGCTTGTGTGCAACTTTCTCACCTCCATCTCTGCAAAAAAAACCTAGAAGTCTGGACTGTAAACTGTGGAGAGAAAAAGGGCTCCCTGGATGTGGAAAAATTCGAGAGTGGTAAGCTTGTGGGGCACACTTCTTCACTCTAACAGAACAATACACATCTTTTCTTATTTCCTAATTGCTTTATTTGATTTCCCTTCTTGTATCTTTTCTCTTTTGTTGCTTTTCACTCTGTTTAGGCGAGCCGTGTATCGAGTGCGAGGACCAGTGTTTCCGTCCTCATGAGTTTGAAACCTTTGCCGGGAGAGGCTCGAGTAAAAAATGGAAAGCAAGTATTTACTATAAAAAACGGCCCCTTGAGTTCTGGATGGAGGTAAGGTGTTTTTTTTTTTTTTTTACCAAGACTACTTTTCCTTTTTAAGACTGATTAAACTACTTAATAAACATGCTTTCTTGCTATTCTCACAGCTAGGTTACTTAAGCACAAAGGGATTTAAAAGAAGGGGAACTAGGACTGCAAAGGTAACTTGATGTGAGAATACGAGTTCATGTGGTGTTAAAGACTTCAAATAAAGCAGCGTTATCTTTTCCTGCAGACGAAAACCTCGTCATCAAATCACTCTAAAGACAGCTCCTCTGAAGGTTGGTCTTTCCTGCAACTGCAGATGAAACCACGATGGAAGCAACAGTAAGCAGAGTGCAATGCCAAGTTCTGTTTTTTTGAAATTGTGCTTGGACGTATTTTGTTCCTGTCAAAGGGTCTGAAAATCAGATCACAGAGGATAGTGAGGACGATGAGGTTGAAGATGAAGATTGGCCTCGTGGCAGTGAAGAACTGTTTGAAGAGGAGGAAGAGAAGGTGGAGTCTGATGGAGACTCAGGAGGGGATGACGGGGAAGAGCTGACGAGAGTGGCACATGGAGAAGTGGAAGGTAAGGACTGGCCCTGCTGTTGCCGCTAACGACAATGAATCTGATTTTGAACGCGAGGTATATTTATACAAATGTTGTCACTGAACTTGTTTTCAGCTCATTAAGAAAAAGTTTTTTTAAGATGAGTCATTACTGTCCCTCTTGTTTGCAGGGGAGAGGTTGAAAGCAATACAGATGGAAGTAAGAGTTATCATTGAAAGACATCCAGAGGTAAGGTGTACGAAATGACCAATACATGTGGAAAGATACAAATACAGACATGTGGTAACAGCTACATATTAGCCTTTTAATATTAGCACATGCCCAAATATGTAGCTACGACTCTGAACGTTACAGACACAGGATATGCCAATATGAAAATGTAATTGCTGATTCCTTATGATTCAAATACAGTATGTAGTTACAAATGCTGCCAATAATATGCATAGCTGCCTATACATGGTGGTGTTCAAGATATTTGCTGTGTCATTCTGACCCAAATATGCAGGTATATATTAATACATTAACACATTTTTTGCATCTAACACAGTGACGCAAATATGTAGTTACAAATGCATGTCAATAAAATGTTATAGTAACACATACAAGCTGATACAAAAATGTATTAATGGGGACATGCAGATTTGAATATGTAGTTAGAGATATGTGTTTAGATATGGATACATGCCATAAATGTCAAAACAAATATGTAGCGAAGAGTGAAGATCAACACAATCATGTAAGAATAGATAGTATGTTGCTGAAACATTTTAATATAATTATGTATCTATAATTGCAGATAAAAGTCAGTCAAAGTCAAAGCTGATAATATGCTGACAGAAATATTTAGTTTATTTATGGATACATACTTTATACATAAATAATGTACAGATGCAAATAGTTACCAGTGCATGCCGATATAAAACATGCAGGTGCCGCTTATCATTTACCCTTAATAAACAGAGTCAACCCCTCAGAGTTACTGTCATGATTTTTCAAACACATCCCTTTGTACCTTTGAATATCGCTCTACTGATTCTGTAAATGTGCTCTGGTTTCAGATAAACAGCATTTCCGAGTCGGACTGCATGGAGCACACAGCAGGAGGTTTGTAAATGAACCTGCAATGACTGTCCAACTTAAACAAGTGGGATTAAATCCATTATTTGAATTCAGAGATACGTCAGTGGGTTCTGTGTTGTAATGTGTTGACAGATAAATGTTGTTGTTTTTTTTTGTCTTTACTAACCTTGTTTTTTGTTGTGAAGACCGTAGGGGCGATCTACTGCACGAGGACGACCAAGAGGAGAGAGAGTTCCCCCTTCAAGACCCGATGACCCTCAGACACAGCGGCACCTCACGGTGAACATTTGCAGATGCCCGTCACGGCCATCAAACGCGAGGACGACGAGGAGTCTGTAGACGTGACACAGAGTGCTGGAGGAAAAGAAGACGCAGAGAGACACCGCGGACCTGAAGCAGGCAACTCTCAGACTCCATCTGCGGCAGACATCGACCCGGAAATCCTGACTGAAACCAGAGTGGAAGGGTCCACCCCCGTGCCGTCGACCGGCTGTCACCTGGATACGATGGACCTCGAGCAATTGAAAAAGGAGAAAATTAAAATGCAACTGAGAGTGTTGAAGCTGCAGGAGGAATACTACTCTCTGAAATTAAAGGAACGCAAAAGGGAACATCAAAAATGAAGTTTGCTGCTTCCTTCTCTTCACTTTTTTACAATCTTGAAGAAGAAAAAAAACAAGCACTTGGGGACGGTGGTAGAGTGAGGGGAGTGTCTGATGTTTTTTTGGGAGTGGGAGCGGCAGTGGATTAGGACCGAAGGTTAGTCCTGCAAGGGGTGGGTGGGGGTTAGCGTCTGCAGACCTGAGAGTGCGGGTGGGAGTGTGCCGGTGGGGGAGCCAGGTTATGGAGGGCTTTGTAGGTGATAATAAGAAGTTTGAAGTGGATACACAGACAAGGACAGATGTCCTCAATCAACCAGATGTTTGAGCTCTAAGTGGTTTGAAGTGATTCATGAGAATTTGAGACTTTTGACAGGTTTCTTTGTGCACTGATGTCAACGTACTTGAAAATGTTGCAATAAACTGGATTATTAAGATTTATCCCCCCGGATGCCCTGGCTCTGTATTTTATATGTTTTTGTACATATATTAAAATGTTTTCATTTTCATCACAAGGGACTTTCATTTTGGGATTACCCAGAAGACAAAGCAGTACGTCTTTTCTCTCTGCTGATGATCCTGTCCTGTACGTGAATCAGTAGTGGTTTCTGACAAACAAAAGAAATGAAACCTCACCTTACATTCATTCAACGTGACACTCACCAAGACTCTTAAGGTGTGGGAAAATGTAACTAAAGGCTGATTTTTGCAGCTTTCTAATATGGCCTAAAGCTCAGATTGAGAGCCAGGGAAATTGAACCACAACTCAAGCACAGTCCTGGTTTACATCTGAGCCATTATCCTTCTAAATAATGAGACGTTTCGCTTTTGCAGCACAGTAATTAGTGGTTAAGTAGGTTATGCTGTGTTTTTAACAACCTGGCTATGCCCCACCCTTTATGAAAGATGCCAGGATGTTGAGGCAACACAGTAAACGACGAGCAACAATGTGGGACGTCCAGCATTTTGTGTTCATCCATCTCGGCATGTGGCTGTTTATCACAAGAAGAGAAGCTGTAGGCTGAAGGCCGCAAGAAAGATATGAGCTTGAAATGTGTTTGTCGAAATCCACTGGATATTTCAACTGTTGCACGTGAAGTGAGGGACTGCGGTGTGTAACAACAACCCTTTAGGGTCGGATCGGTACGCTTAGCACCCCAGCAGGAGGGGAGCAATAAAAGTATGATGGTACGGATCAGTTATTTTGGTACCATTCCCAACTTTTGAGATCAAGTACGCTCGTTTTAAAAAGAAGCATAGCCACATCACTCACAGCAGGAAGGTGTACGAGAAGGGCAGTGGAGTAGCATTTGGAGGAAAACATCTGGCTCTGTGGCCTCTCAATCCAGCTAAAAGCTAGGATACTCAGACTCCTGGGTATCTGCTCAAAGATGGTGGGTCACTGTGTTGAGCGCTCTTTCCTCGAGAGCTGCAGTAAGCACATCCTGAGACGGGCTGGGAAGATAGCCTCAGACCAGTCTCCTGTCCTGCATGAGGAGTGTCAACTTCTGCCCTCTGGGGAGCGTGCCAAACTGTAAGAGGAACAACTACAAACACTTTCATTCATCACTCCACTGTGATTTGAAATGTATCTTACGCTGTTTTGACATTCTGTCTTTTAAATGTGATGTGGTTTGATCGATCTATCATCCGCTGATGGTCTTCGGTTTGTCATAACCGATGAAAAGCTCTACCCAGATGGAGCATTTTTGTACAAAAGGGAAGAACAAGGAGGAAGAGGCTGATCCACACTTCAAAAGAACACACAAACATTTATTTCTAACAGTTTCAACTCATGTGTAACCTTTTCAACATTTAACACAAGGCCTGAATTTGTACATTATATTTACAGTTCCATCGAAGCGGCAAGAGTTTAACAGTCGTTCCTACTGTCACATCTGCTATTCTGTCATGTCTTCTTCGTCTTCCTCCGATTCGTCGTCTTCGTCAAAGTATTTATCCTCCGCGTCTCTGCTGACGATGTCCAAGTTGTCATAGTCCGGGTTCTCATCCACCTCACTGCAACGGACACACCGAACAAACGCTGTTTAAGCAACACATTCAAGATATTTAGTGGTCAGCTAATGTGTTTCAATGTGTTTTAATGTGTTCCTTCATCAGTTTGTATATCAGGACAGTACCCGCGTCTGATTGGACACAGGTGCTGACGGGCATGCACAGAGTCAGAGCTCCTTTTTTTTTTATATATATATAAAAGTTAGAGTCATGTTTCAGAGCTCACTCAAAGCTAATTAGTGCCATGTTAAAATGTGTGTATTCACAGTCCTGTATTCAAATCAGCAAAGTGCTAAACGCAGGCAGTTAATGTGTGTACCTAAATAGTCATGTAATGAAAAAAAGAACTATGCTTATACTTCTTATATAATGCTTATAGCTGATACTGCATTATAGGGCTGGGCAATATTGACCAAAACTCATCTCGATATTGATTCGCTGAATGGCGATACTCAACATATATCGTTATGTATTTTAGTAACTGTGAAAACACATGGAAAAATTGTGAATTTAAAAAGTAATATTATAAAATAAAAATGTTCCTTAAATACAATAAGAGAGAGAGAGAGAGAGAGGAGGAGCAGGGTTAAGAGGGAGAGACAGTCAGTCATCATCAGTGAGATGAGAAAAAGGTGAACTGCACCTCGAGAACGTTATTTTAATGAAACATAAACTGTATCGATATTAACGATATTGTCTGACCCTATATCTTGTTTGAAAATATATTGATATATTTAAAAACTTGATATATTTCCCAGCCCTACTGCATTATGGAGTGGCTGCTCCTCTGCTGTCTGAGTTTCACAGGGGCGAGCTAACACACACCAATATTCACTCATGCACACACACAATGATTCATTCTTTAATTTGCCTGATAGAAAGTATTCTAGGCAAGTGAATTTTTTCATCTACCAAATTGCCCTTTTGGGGTCAATAAATGCGTCTATTAGCAGAGTCTGAATGCGCATTAAGTTCTGCTACAGCCGACCTGTAGTTGAAATCCTTGTCCTTGCCATCCAGGAAGTGCTGGTGCATCTGACTGATGAACTCCTCCCTGAGCAGAGCCTTCTCCTCGGGGCTCGGCTCCCATCCCTTCGGCTGGGGAGGATACTCTGCAGCGGGAGCAGAGGGGCGGGGGGGGGGAGACGTGATGACTGACAGCACACAGAGGTAGGAGGAGGAGTTAAGAGAAAGGTTGACATTGTGTTTATCCACACTCACCTCTTCTTCATCCTCCTCCTCCTCCTCCTGTGCTCCCTCCTCTCTCTCCTGCTCCTCCTGCAGACGGTTCTGGATGAGACGCTCCTGGTACGAGTTGAGGAGTAAGTGGGCGAGCCCTCCTGCGCCCCCTGCTGGTGCCCCCTGTGCATCATCCTGCATGGCCTCCTGGGAGCGCTCCAGCACCTAAAACATCAGTCAGAACAAATGATAGAAGGATAACATGTTAAGTATAAACTAATACAAATCTGTGTAAGTAAGGGTGTCAATGACTCTTCTAACTCAGGACGCCGTTTGACTTCTTTTGTGAGCATGTTTTTTTTTTTTTGCCTTGGGTCTTGTTTAGATTACACTGATAAGATTGAACACAGATTTCTTTTTTTGGTTGAAGAATCAACATCAGGACCCGTCTACATTCGATGACGACAGCTCTGTCATTGTCTCACACACTCACCTCTTCGTCAGTCAGGTACTGGCCGATATATTGCTCGTACAGCAGCGGCTCCCTCGTCCGCATCTGTTCCTCGCTGAAATACTGACCCTCTAAAAGAGGAGGAGGGACGCAAAGGCAGGAAGAGAGAGAGAGAGGTGAGGTTCAGGTTTCAGAACAGTAACACTAAGTTCTACAAGACTTCTGCTGATTGGTGCAAGCAGTGAACGCAGTCAGGGATTTTTTAGTCTTTTTAACACACCTAGAATAAAATACAAATAAGCAAAGCAGAGCCTAGAAGTTTATTATACTAAAGAAGTCATAACTTGTAGGAATTCATTAATATTTGTCGTAGTTGAATAATCCATACCTCTTTGCAGGGCTCTGAGGGCGGCATAGCGCTGGTTTCTGACCCTGGTCCGGTTGGTACATGCTGCAGCTCTTCTCTCGATCACTTTGCTGTAGTGCTGAGTCCGGGGGTCTGAGCAGACGTGGGCAAACGCTGACAAGTCTTGGGGCTTTAGGTAGGCCTGGAAAATGGGGAAATTACAAGAAGAAGATATACTTGTTTGGTGTAGAAGCAAGCATGGCGGCAAAGGACCGATGTGCAGCACAATCAAACGTTAAATCAATAAAAACAACACAATCATGATGCATGGCAAGAGGAGGATATGGAGGGTATCTGTTATGGTGCTTCATCCTTTTATATAAATAACTGTTAACAAAAACATTTCCTCAGTAGTGACAGCTAATACTAAAAATAAAGCAGTAAATGTGACTTTTAATTGAATCATTGCACACTGAATTTATGTTTTGACAATAGGTTACAACAGGGATGGGGGCAACTTCGGTCACAGCAAGGGGTCACATTCATTTAATTCTCACTGCCAGAGGGGCCAAATTGTAGGATACAAAAACAATCACAGTCAATTATGTCTCAAATTTAACTCAACATATACCAGTGATCAAATATTATCATGGACATATTTCTGTCTTTCATGATTTCGTGGCAGATTGGGTCAAGTTTTTCTTCATGTTTCCAAGTAATTGATGACCGGAGGGCCACTTTAAGGGTTGATGTGGGGGGGGGTTACAACAATACCTTCCAACGTAGAGGCCCCTTGCATCTGATGACCAAAACAAATACGCACAGAAACACAATTCAAAGTGTGTTCACGTACATGGTACTTCTCCAGGAACACCAGAGGTCTGCTCCTGTACTGCAGCAGCAGCTCGTCTCTGCGCTCCTGCAGGCTCAGCTCAGCGTCTCCTATCTGCTGGCTCTTCACTGGACTGGAGCTCTTGGCTATGGCCTCCAGCATGTCATTTATAGAGACTGACTCTGCCTGGCTTACAAACTGTAGGACAACAATAAAAAAAACATAGTTACAAAGAACGACAGGTGTTTTTGTGATGGTGTACAGAAACAGACCGGGTCTCTCACCGGGGGGTCTTGTGGATGCAGCGTGTCTGTAGGTCGGGGTCGTGGCTGTGGTACTTCCGGTGATGTACTCTCATCTTCGGGCTCACAAGAACTCAAAGAAGGACAAGAACTCGGTTGTGCTCTAACAGGAGGAACGGGAGGGTCGATTTCGCCCCACATTTTAAACTAAAGCAAGAACTTCGTCACGACACTTGTCTCCAGTGGCTCTAACAGAGAATACAGATAAATAAAGGTCTTCTAACAAGCGGTAGTGACAGCTTTTGTCAAGCGGTAACACTGTCCATTACAATTATCTGTTGTTATCGGCTGTTACAGGGTTCGTTACTTCTGTTTCGCCGTCATGTTGGTCCGTCGCCAATGTTGCTCCCCTCTCTGCGAACCGAACAAAGGTTCCCACCAGTTGAGTTGCACGCTGTTAACAATGTCGCCATCTAGTGGTGGCTTTTCAACATAGAAAGAAGCGGACATCATAATCTGATTTTAATGTAGGATAGGATAAAAACTTTATTGATCCTCAGAGGGGGGAATTCGGGCGTTGCAGCAGCACAGACAAGAAAGCTCAAAATACACATTAAACAGAATAGATAAGATAAATACAAATAAAAACAGGGGGTACAAAATGAATGATGGAGTTAACTATGCATGGAATTGAAACAGTATTTGCAGAGAATGACAAGATAAAGTGACAAGTGATGATTAAAGTGACTTGGTATGATAAATAGCAGCAAGTAATGTAAACAGCAGAGAAGAGAGGCAGTGTTGTACCACAGTAATGCAGAGTGCAGTTATATAATATAATATAGTGCAATATGAACAATATAGTGTAATATAATGAAATGTTATATAATATAGACTAATATAATAATATAATAAAAATATATAGACTGTACAGTATATATATATATTGATGCTAAATAATAATAATAATAATAATAATAATGGGGGGGCGCGCTGGTGGCGCAATGGTTAGGGCGCAAGCGGTAGGCCCGGGTTCGCTTCCACCCGTGGCCCCTCTCCGCATGTCATTCCCCGCTCTTTCTCCCTGGTTTCCGACTCTATCTACTGTCCTCTCTCTGCATTAAAGGCACAAAAAGCCCAAAAATAAAATCTTTAAAAAAATAAAAAATAAATAATAATAACATAATGTTAGTAATGATAATAATGAAGCAGGTCATGTGGGTAGTGTTTTTTATGGGGGTGAAGTTTTGTGTAATAAAAATAATTAAAAAGTAAATATTCTTCTTTGCAGCCGTCCAAGTTTCAAATTTTAGGACAGAAGAGCTGTTCAACTGTTTCCTTATTGACGGAAAAAAAACAGTGATTAGTATCTGCCTTCCCTGATCCTGCAAGACTGAGTTCTATGTCAAGAAGATAAAGACAGAGGGATGGAAATTTACAGTCCACGTGGAGCCTTGAGCAAATTGTTTGCTTTTATCTCAGTGAGTATGAATGATAGGAAAACAGAATTTATAGACACTTAAGTCAGATACATACACAGATGTGGAGACACATCCTGAGATACAATCATACTCTCGCTGTTAAATTAATTTGAAAACAAAAACAAAAACGGACATGATACACACATTGTCACAGGTAAATACTTGTATAATTTACAGAAATGCACACACCTACATGCAATGATGTCCCTGACTGTTTTGGTTCAGACCTTACAAGATGTGATGGCAGATGACAGCCCTGATTTGAGTTCCTCACCAGGGGACCCCCACACCCAGCATATTAACACCCTCTGTGCTACCAGTATGCACGCACAGACACATCACCCTGCATATTTAACAACTTATGTGCGCATCAGCTCACTTAACGATCACATTTTTGCCACGTTTTTCTCATCTATCTAATTCCAACATGACAAGCACTGTTGAGTTGTTGGAACAGTAATTGACACATTAACCCATTCTTGTTTTAGAAAGAGCCCTCTCTAACCTTTAATGTCATGTTATATCGTCGGATGTCAGCCGAGACAGCGCCTTGATAATGGAGATAAATGAAACTGTCAGTGGGTGGGGACAGGTGTTTTATACTGACATGCAGGCAAGGGAGAGGAGAAGACAGGCGGAGTGATAACGGCAATTTAAAAGCAGAGGAGCACACATGTACGCTTTATATTCCTGCTGAAAGAGGAAAGATCAGCTTTGGACTGTGGATGCAGTTTCACTCTTCTTATGTCATAAGGATTTGTAGTCCGTCTGTCCATGAAAAAAAAAAACGGCAACACAAAATCTCAGGAATGACTTGAAGGGAATCTTTCTTTGTATTTGGCATAAATGTTTTAAATTTAATTTAACATACATTATTAATCGCTTAGGGAAAATGCTGGTTTACACTTTGTTATTGAGAGACACACACATCTCACACACATATGTGAGATGTGGGGATGAGTCAGAGTGGGTCTGCAACGCAGCAATCGCACAACATAGATGATGGGATTGTGATGCCTTGCTCAAGAGCAGCTTGGCAGTATTGGAAAATGACCTGGCACTTCTCCAGCCACCAGAACAACTTCCATACTTTGGTGAGCAACAGGACTTAAACCACTGACCCTCCGGTATCCAAGCCAGGTCCCTACAGACGACTTCATAAAACATGTTTTATTTTTTTACCACTAGGTGCTATAGTTAGCTGCAAGATGCTAAGCAGAGAGACAAAACAGCCAACACAGGCGTGAAAAGCGTATTTTAAAGAAAGCATGCAAGCAGAGTGTCAGCTGGTGTTTTATGTGCTGTTGTATGTCATACTAATGTTTTTAGGCCTGAAGGCACAAACACTGCGAGGTTCTAACACAGGTGCACTTCACTGACACCATGCTGAGCTCAGATCACAGGTGCTAAGTGAGAGGAAGCACAGGGACTCTGCTCAGAATGTACACATTAGGTGTGTGTGTGTGTGTGTGTGTGTGTGTGTGTGTGTGTGTGTGTGTGTGTGTGTGTGTGTGTGAGAGTGTGAGAGTGTGTTTGTGTGGCTGTCTGCGGCTGACTGACTGAACAGCTGTGACTGACTGCTGGTTCATATATTTTGATGATATTCGACACACACACTCACACAAAAACACACACGCGCACACACACTCAGTCAGTCAGTAGCTGCAGCTTCTGCAGCTGCTCAGTTAGCATTTTGTTTACACATGCTAGTCACTTTATCATTTAAGGACATCTTAACAGTATTGTCGACATTTTTTTGTTGAAGCAGTGGGAAAAAACTGTTTTCATGAGGAGGACATTTGTTTTCTAATTTTCTTACAACTTCACTTAACCAAGCAACGATCAAAGCTATTTATTTCGCTAATTGTTGTTGCTGTACAGACTTGTAGCTTGTGACAGGTGCATGTATCCAACACCTGGACCTTGTCGACCTCCTGTTTTTTTTTTTTATACCGCCTGTTTCATTGAGTCTCACTCAGAGTGATTTCCTGGTTTACTCATGTCCGCCGTGCTGGAACACCTGCCTTGTGTCCGCATTGACCCTGCACCTCTCAGGACTCAGCCAATGAGCAGGGACATCGATGAGCGAGCCGTACCGCTTGAGCTGAGGCGCCGGGCCTGTCAAGGTCTCAGACAAGGTGGGATACCTGTTGTGTATCATACTAACAATAAACCAGGACTTACATAGGCAAAGGTTTGCAGCTGTTATGCTCATGTTTGGAATGCTTGTTTTGGAGAAAATTGTGTCCACTCAGGTGAGATCCTCAGGTTTTTTTGCAATGACATTTTGGAGTTATGGCCTCCCCTATAACTTTTTCTGGGTTCAGGTGTTTGGTGGATACAATTATCTTCAAGTGGCAGGGTTACAGTTGGGGCTCAGCCAGCCTGGCCATGGTACGCCTCGCCCTGAGCTCATGAACCTGTTAACCTGTTGACTGTCGTGAAATGTAGCTGAACTGAGAGTGGTTTGGACTGCTCGGGCAAAGCAAGATTCCATGAGTCATCCAGAACAGTGCGATGTGTAATGACATGTTGTGAACAAAACCTGTTAGGTCTGTGCCTTTTTCCATTCTCTTTTCATTCACCCCATGATTAAACCTGAAACTTTTCAAAAGCTGGTTGGTTTTGTTCAAATTCATGTGAGTTAGAATATTCTGAAACGGATCCTTTTGAAGCAGGATTTTGTTTTCACATATCGGTTCAGTAAAGATTTTCTGTGACACACAGACCTCATTATTATTATCATGATTATCAGGAGCTAGGTGATGAATATGCTAGAGTTATCAGCAAGATAAACTAAGACTGAATTTATCTATCAATCTGCACATCTACATTTCTGTTTTCTCTGGTAAAAGCCTGTGATCACACTCTTCTGAACTGTATCACCCTTATGAGTGGGTGAGGGAGTGTGTGTGTACGTGTGTGTGTTGGCAATTTACACTTGTGTTCATCTTAATTCAGCTGCCTGTCGTGGGGGGGGATCGGGTTCCTTGCGGTTACAACATGGACACAAATAGAAAACTGTTCAGCAGAAGGATGAGATCTGAGGAAAGAGCTCTACTGGAAACGATTAATTGTCAAGTTTGCAATGCTGAATCAAGACGCTAAGAAGTGAATTTGACCTCTCGCAACAGATTAAAAGAATCCACATGGGACCACATACAGCTCTGGAATAAACCCGTCCATTACTGTCTGCTCAAGAAATTTAAATTCAAAGCAGTGTTTTCAAACACAAAAATGAAATGCCACAGCGTATTTCTCCATGTCTCGAGCGAATTACTTCAGATGTGGTGGATATGTGTATATACAGTATGTGTATACTGTATATGTTGGCGTGTACAGGGCCAGGGTTATGGTCTTTAAACCAGCTGCAATGCTGCGGTCCAGAATGGTCTGTATGTGTTTTGACCAGAGAAGTATAGGCGGTTTTCAGGCAACCCCACACGGCTGTTTTGGACGCCCCTCAGTTTGACAGGCAAACGGCAAACCAACAGGTGTTGCAGCGATGGAAGCGTGCAAGCGAACATGTTCAAATAAAACTTATTCAGCCCAACTTAAAAAGCTTCAACTTTACAAGATCCACGATCAGATACAAAGTAAAACTAGGATGAACATCGGAGATGCTTTTTTTTTTTTTTGTAATGGAGAGAGGTTAGAACGCAGAAAGGTTTCAAGATTGATGCAGAGCTGGATAAACACTGAAGCTTCCGTGTCTGCAACATGGCAACCTGCATGCGCATCCGCTCTAGGGAGGAGGGGGCGGGGGAAGACAGCTCTCTCTAATCCTTTGAATTTGGACTGCAGTACATAATTTAAACGCTAGGTGTCAGAGTTACATATTGCTCCTTTAAAACCTGTAACTATTTAATTATTGAGTATGAGTATTGGCATTCAGCCTTACTTGAGCCATTACTAAAACATTGAAGAACTCAATATATATGTTATTTGATCATGTTTACATTGCATTGTTTATCTTCCACATCAGCGATCTAAGACCCCTCTTAAATGTAGCCTTTATGATGTAGCCATGCAGGATTTATACACTTGCTCTTGTGTGCTCTAAACTGCTGTTGAGCGAACGTGCACTTGCTGTCATAGTGACATTTGAGCAATGAGCACACCTCCCCAGAATAGATTGTGTATCAGCACATTGCATCACACTCCTGTCATCTCTTGGCACAAATCATCTGCAGAGAAAACACTGTTTTGTTTGTGTATCTCCGCATCGGTGTGTGCGTGTTAGTTGAAGTATTAAAGTGTGTTTTCAATGTGCACTCCTCAGTATAGTTTGCATGTTTGCAGATATACAGGCCTGTATATAAGTGTTAGTTTGTTGTGTTAATCTGCCTGTGTTTGCCTGCAGGAGCTGGTTAAATCTTTCCTTCTGCCGAGGGGAGAAACTGCACCCTCGTGCGTCAGCAACGTCCACATCACAGAAATCAAAGGCAGATGAATGTTTCATGTCGGGCCGCTGTAGGACGCACAGAGGGATTTTCTCTTGGGTCTGACTTCAAGAAGCTGCGGCGACAGAGCCTGCTCTCATTATTATAGACTTTTCATAGAAAGGAATGTGGGCAGTGCTGCTGAAACACTGGACCACATGCCTCTTTTCTACTGTCCAGGATAACATCGATTTAGAAACAAAAATGTCGCTGAGAAAGAGGAACAAGATGGGTAGATGCATTAGAAAAATGTCCCCTCTGTCGTCTGAATAAGTGAGATTTAAGGGGATGAATAATGGCAGGTTTTTATTTTGGCTACACTTGACTTTTTTTTTTTTTTTGCAAGTTGGCTCTCTTAATTGGAACTCTTTGATTTTTTGGAACAGAGAATACAACAGTTGTGTTTTGGTAAGTGCAGGAATAAGATGAAAAGAAGACCTGAGGGTGAGGGAAGCTTTGTGATTCAGTAGACAGAGTTTTTGGATGCAGAATTTAGGGGGAAAAAAAGTGAAAATGCTAATAAAGACTTTGTTCGTCTGCCCACACAGTGAACGCTGCACCCTCTCTGCTTTCATCTGTGTTTTTGCACGCAGCAGGCAGCTGTTTTTTTTTGCAACAACCAAAAAATGCTCTGAAACCAAACCAAACCTTCTACCTGAACAGCACCTAACACAGTTGAGCACTCATTGGCTGAAGAGCCACACATTTCCCTGAGATATGACACTGCTGAAATGCTGATTTCCTGACCCAGATATAGAGCAGCTGCTGATCTGCAGGAGATCATTTCCTGGCAAAGTCCTATTTTAGTCTTGAAAGTTTGGTTCGGGGAAACTTTTTTGCAGATATGTCCTCTGAGAAAATGTCAGGTTGGCTCGGGACACGGTGAGACAGATAGCTCCTTAGAACTGGTGGAGGTGAGATCTGTGTAGGTCTATATGTTGAACCTAATTATGGCCTTGTATTCCTCTGAAAGGAAGACATAATCATATTTAAATAGTAAATCACTGAACATAATCATTTAGTTACGGTTAACCATATGACCAGCTAAGTGTTGTCAGGACTGAAATTTATTCAAATAATGAAACAGAAAACGGTTGTGGTGCTTCTGCATGTATCTGGTATGTTAGTGTTCATGTTTCCCTGTTAATGTGCAAGTTTATCTTTGTAAACATCTTCTCACAGAGGACCTCAGAGAAGCAATGTGAGCTAGCAGGGCACATAAAACCTCTGCAGAGAACCTCAGATGTAGTAGCACAACTTTATTACTCATATTTATAGACGGAGAGCCTTTCTATTTAATGCTCTTTTAAGCTATGAGTAATGTCCCTACTTGTGTGGTTCACTGCGGTGTGATGTATAGCAGTTTAATGAGGCTCCCCATTCATTCTGCTTCTGTATATTTCCTCCTTTTATGTCTGTCTCTATGTTGATGTGTTCAGTTCTCCAGCTAAAGCTCCAACAAAAAAGGTCCAGAGAAGAAATGCTCAACCGGGGGATTATGCTGCGTAAGTAGACACTTCTTTTTGTTTTGTAGGGATGAATGCTGGAGTTTTCTGAACATGTCATGGTTCTGTACTTTGAAGACATTCATGCTTTAATGTATTCACTATGTTAACCTTGAATGGGATTAATTGAAGATGCTTTACACGTGCTGAAGTGTCTAATTAGCAACAGCTGTTTTCACATATAGGCTATGCACAAAACTGCTGAAAATGTCCTGCAAGCCCCCTCGTGAAATGTCTCCTTTAAGTCGGGGTGAGCTGATGTGTGAACACAGCAGATAATACATTCACCATGGGCGTGTGGGAAGGGGTGACACATGACAGCAATTTCCAAGAGAAATTACAGAAAACAACTAGTCTCGCAGTATGAGCTACCCCTTCCATCAGGATGAGCTACCCTGCCTGAAAGAAAGAGCTCCTATACCTGAAAGAGTGACCTACCCTACCTGATAGTCTGAACTACCATACCTGAGGGAATGAGCTACCCTGCCTGTTACAGCAAGTGCTAGCATTCAACCATTTCATGGCTACCATTTCATTATCATTGGGTATTAATTCCTTCCTAACATAACAGTATGCCTTTTCTTTGGCATCATGTTACTCTTTCAGAAGGTCATGTAAACATTTAGCTGAATGCTGATCTTAGCTGTTGTCTGACGGTTGCTAATGAGTTAGCTAAACCATTGTTTGAATTTGAAAAATGACCGTCCAGAATTCAAAGTCTGTTTTTTTTTCTGTCGCTGATCAATTGAAATGACAATGATTTGTCAGATATTCCGTTTTTATTTGACTAACAACCTGGAATGCAGTTAGCCGTAACATGACACCAGGATTTGAGCATTTCTAAAAAAGCAGGAGTAGTTCAAGAATAGTGCATGTTGTGATGCAGTCAAGGTCAGAACAAAATTTGATTTCCTGTTACAAATGGTTCTGTGTGGTCATTATTTTCCTGAGTGGAGATAATGTGGGTGCTTAACCTTGCATGCTGGAGAGGTATGCCACTGTATTCAGTTGCCTGTTGGAAGCAGATGTCAGGGCTCCCGCTGTTAAAAAAAGAAAAGACCAAAAACACAGACGGAGACAGACAGAGCTAAGAGTTCGATTGGCTTTGTTTAGAAATGTTAGATACACACATGTAGTTTAAACAGCTGGACAGTGCAGTGATATACACAGAGGTGTGTCGTAAGTTAAATAAAAAGAACGGGATCTACTCAGCAGCAGACTGAACATAAAACCAGCCAGGGCCCGAGGAGGCGAAGCTGCTTGATGGTCCCGCAGTTTACAGACAAGGGATGCTGGTGAGCTTCAGCAGGGTGGCAAGAAGCCATGATGCAGCCACTCATGCACAAAATGGGGTCTTTTCCCTCTGACCTCACCACTCTCTGTTTCCTCCTCTTCGTTGGCCCTTTGGTCTGTTTTTCCATTTTTCTTCCGGCTGCCTCTCTCCATTTATCTCCTCTCCACGTCTTCTCTCCCTCTGTTTTTTTTTTTTTTTTCTCTTTCTGATTCTCCGCCTCTTCATCTTCTTCATACCTTTCACCCAGTTCCCAAGTTGTGCGCTCATTCATACTTCCATTCCATCGCAACACTCATTTCAGATGTAGCTGACTGACAGGCAGGTCACATAGCGCCCTTGTGGACGGGTGAAAGGTCCAAGAGGGTTAATGTCCCTGGGGTGTGCAGGAGTGAGTGTGTATCTGCAGTGTGACAGTGTTCAGTGACGTGAACTCAGGCTTGTACAGGTACCAGCAGTCTTCCCCGAGGGTAACCAATCTTGTCACAACGTGTGTGTGTGTGTGTGTGTGTGTGTGTGTGTGTGTGTGTGTGTGTGTGTGTGTGCAGTCAGAAAGTATAAAAATAGGACATTTTCGGTTGCGATCATTTTTAATAAAATTAAAGTGCTATCTAAAGTGGTTTTCTTCCCTTGTCAGAGTTTTTCTGCAGTCATCTGAGTGTACTTATAAGCAATAAGCAGACATGCATCCTTACATTGGATAGACTTCATTTTGTATGTATAGGGAGTTACTTTTACTGTGTTCTCGACGTATTTATCTTGTCATCTTGAATATATATATATAACCATCTTGGTTTTCCTTTAATATATAGGCTATATATATACATTTTTAAGATGCATTTTTTTAGTTACTTCAAAGTAGATCTGATAAGTGGAAATAGATTCATTCAGTTGTCAATTGCCACCCTATTATAAGTCAGTTGCCCCATTTGGAAAACCCAAGTCAAAGAAGCTTTAAGCCTTCTGGCAAACAGCTATAATATACCCATCTATGAATCAAATCAACCAAACCTCAGTTAAGCAAATATTTGCATGATTCTTAGCCTGAATAATGGGTGTTAATGGAGCTTTCTGGACTTTTGGAGCCAGCCTCAAGTGGACACTCAAGGAACTACAGCTTTTTTCACTTCCTCATTGGCTTATTTCTCTCTGGATGTTGACGCTTAGTCAGAGCGTCAAGCAAAATCATGCTCAATTTGTGTAGATTGCCAACCTAACCTGCCTGCATTATATAATCCTGCATGCAATATGTCGTTATTTAATAGTGTGAAGTTTAGAGTCTTGATTTAGAAGCAGGTTCATATTGCATGTACTGTGGTGTTGCATTAACATAGCGTTTTTGGTGTCATCACAACCCTTAAGGCTTTTGGAATTCTATCGCTACTAATCCCTGGGTTTTTGCATAATCAAAGGCCTACAGAAAGTCTTGTGTGAGTCATTTATGAACAGATTCCATTAATTCCACTGCTGTAAAGAGGCTCGTTGGACTGGAACCCCTTCGATACATTTCTCCATTTACCATGAGATTTTTGGCCTTTTACAGCGCCTGTTAATGGGCCCACTGCCCAAGCTGATTTCCATTTTCTGGTGTCATGGATTATAAATATGTGAGCCTCTTTATTAAGAGAAGGCATCACTACTCTGGCAAAAGCTTTAGCACTAGAAACGTAATGATCCTCAGTTTAAGTAAACTATCCAAACTGCACTGGAACTGGACTAGATGCAAAGATCCATTTAAAACCTAAGGCTTGAACAGACACACTGTCATGTTATTGTCTTTTCTCTCTCTTTCTTTACACTTTTGCCCCGCACTCATCATTCTAACCCCAAGCTTTCAAAAGTCCAGCTGCTTTCCAGAAGAACAGACAGAGCTTGGAACAAACACAGGTGAGTAGGACAGCCATGTCAACCACAGGGGTAGAAATCGATCTGTTTAAAGCTGACATTTTTTTCCTCTGTATACCTTGTGTTATCTGAGATCATTTCAGCAACTCTTAAATAATCATTGAATACATTCCCATGCATACTTTATCCTCTGGGTTGAGTCATTGGTTGGTGGTATATGGAAACAATTTTGAGTTGCAAGGCATTGTTATCTAAAAGTAATGTTAAAATATTGATAAGAGAAATCAATCAATGGTGGGAAATATTTGTTTTAGCTAAATGAATTGATCAGTTTGATAAAAGTAAGAGATACAGTATTGAAATCTTAAACTTAATGTGCGGCACCAGTAGCCTAGGGGTTTGTATAAGAATAATAATAAGCATGTGGTATAGATCTAAGAGTGATTGATTGTCTCAAATTGTTTCTCCCTCTTTCTGCAGACTGAGGACTATCTGAAGAGGAATATCAAGAGTCGGCCAGAGCGCTCTGAACCGATCAGATTGCACGTTCTGGAGGGTGAGCTCCTCAGACTGTACATCCTTTTGTCTGTCTGACTTTAGCATCCCAGCACCCTGGCAGGAATATTTACTTTGTTTCTGTTTGCATCCAGAGACATTCGCAGAGCCTTGGCTCCGGGCAAGACAGCTGCAGCTGAAGAGAGCTCGCCTTGCTGATCATCTGAATGATAAGATCTCACACCGGCCGAGGCCCATGGAGATAATCCACAAAAACATCCTACCTGTTCCCTGTAGCATTAAACAGGCTATCATAGGTAAGCCCAACCATGGTACGGATTTGGTGGGTTTGCCGTTCACTCTCCTACAGGGTGACCAAAAGGCGGATGAAATCCATCCAAATAGTTCAGTGTATCTGAAATGATTTTCCAGCAATTTTTTTTTTTTTTTATCTTGGACTGTTTCTGTCTTTAGCTGCACTACAGATAACTCCTCTTTCATTATAACTTTTAACAAGTGGAACCAATTACAAGCTTGACTTTTTTGTTCACTTATTTTTGTTTCATTGAGCTTGCTGTGAGCCCTTTATCTTGCACACCAGTAGAACAAATAATTAGGCATGAACAAAACCCTGTTGGAGCACAGATGTAGTAACTGTGGCTGGTTTCAGGCTCGTTTTTAGCATGTTAGCTCGTAGCTGTTACAACTTATAAGCCCTTTTGTTAAAGTGCCTTTACAGCCTCTCGACTGTTTGTTTCGGTACAACTTTTCCCCGTCGACAACTCAGATAGTAGACCTGAGTATTAGTCGATGTCATTAACCCCTCTGATATAAGGGCAATAAAAAAACTTGGATAACACTGGTTGAGGAACACTGTGCTATCTGCTAGCACCACGCTGTTGTAATTTATTGTCACATGGTAATTTAAGTGAAATCTGTCGATTGTTTGGGGGCTTTTTGATATGGTAATATTCACGCATGAACTTATATTGATTTTGAGCAGTAGCAGGGTGATACCGATATGGATGTCAATGGAACAGCTCTACTTGTTTTGTTGTTTTAATGACCTCTCCATGTCCTGCATACATATAGAAGAAGATTATGTCAATACACACCCATAATTAAAGACTCCTAGAACAAATGCACATTGCCATGCAGTAAGAACACACTTTGCCACCTGAGTCTTGATGCTTCATATTTGACAGTAAAAAATTTAAGATATTCCTTTCCTTTTCTCTCGTGAACTTTAAATGTCGAAAAATGTTAGGAGGAGAATTCGATTCTAAATAAAGAGCTGGGAATAAATTGAAAGGGAATTCACTTTGTAGCCAATTTAGTTCTTTTCCATTCCAACATCAACAAAAAAAAAAAAAAGAAAAGAAAAGATGCCGTACTGTTTGATTTAATTGTGTATGATGTATGATTGGTCTAGTGCCGGTTGTGCTACATATTAGATGAAAACATCAGAGACAGTAGGTCCGGCCACCTGATTGATGTGCACAGGGATGAATCCTGAGACTCAATAACGTACAGTGTCACGGGATTATCTATCTCTGTCACCGCTGCACAACACACACACACTTGCATTACATTTGAGTTACACAGAGCTGACAGGCAAAGATACAAACATACTACGAACCACAGGCACGCACAAGCACAGTGCAGCAGCAGGGACGTCGTCACATTATTGGATGAGGCTGTTAAATCAGCCCCCGTGTCGTCTTTTCATCATCGCCTGCTGATGGTGAATTAATGGCTAGCGGGTCATTTCATATAGCTGTCTGCTCCAGCCCACAGAAGCTCTTATAATGAAATAACACACACCCACCTGCAAAGGAAAAGTCTCTATCATAAGTCTGTGTGATCATGCCTGTACTCTTTGAAGCCATGCAAAGACTGAGAACTGTGCATATTAATGACATGATTATTTGATACCTGAGGGAAAAAATGAGCAGCTTGGATTCATTTCTAACTAATGCTGGAGGATATTGAAACATGATCTTTAGTTGTGATTGGATCGTTTTTGTTGTGCTGATGAACATTTCAGCCACAAGAGGCAGAGGTGCACCTCGTCTCATGTTGAAAAAGTACAAAAAGCAGTACTTCTGACACTGATACCATACTTGACTACAGTATGACTTTTATGCAGTATTGGCATATAGTGCCCCCTTTGTAACAACCTTCAAAACACCGGTATGCTTCACTGTCACAATGCTGCATGTCTGCCTGTCACTGTAGGACCCAGGTGCTTGTTTTGATGTATCACCTGCCTAAATGTCAACCCCCCCCCTCTCTCTCTCAGAGACACAATTTCCAGAGGCTACAGGTGATAACTGGTCATGTGATGAGGACAGCTGTTACAGTCTGTCTCCAGAACTACCGGTGAACCAGGAGTCTTCTCTGGTCCTGCTCCCTCTGTCCTCCCCCCCATTTCCTGCACGGGTAGGATCAACAATCAGCCCCAGCAATATTGTCTCAGCTGTCGAACACGCACACCTGTATACTGTTCTTGGGACCCTCTTTATTTATGCATACCTAATATTATTTTCTACTGAACTAGAAGTGACCAAAAAAACAGAGTTAAAAGTATAATTAAATACAGACTTACAAATATTAGAAACACGATTCTATTAGTGATTGACAAAGGTGAGCAGCGTCTGCTGTTTGCCTTATCCGCATAAGTTTGTGTGAACATCTTGTTGTGCTGCACTCTGATGGTAAAGTTTCTTGTTATTCAGATGGATAATTAAAACTAGATAGATTGTTGTATAAAAGTTTACGGTACATACTTACCACCTAGCGTCCCACCTTTCTTTTCAGTCCCAGCTAAAACCGAACTCGGAGCACTCCGCGCAGAAACAGAAGAAACCAAAGGATGACAGACCAAAGGTAGAGTTTTGTTTCCTGACATACAGACAAAGCCTGTTTCGAACAGTAGAAGAGTAAGAAAGTGTTCATGCTAATGGATAAAACATTTCTTTGTTATTTTATATGTGTAACCTAGATTAAAAAGTTAAAGTACCATCAGTACATCCCTCCTGACCAAAAGGGAGGTAAGGAGCCTTCTCCCAGTCTGGACATGTCTTACACCAAAATTGTCCAGCAGCAGCAGCTCTTCTTGCAGCTCCAGATTATCAATCAACAGCAGCAGAATTACCATGCCATCCTGCTTGCACCACCCAAGTAATTATTCTTTGTTGTTTTTTCTTTTAACGGATGACCAAGTTCCCAGTGTGTGGTTGTAATGGTGGGAAACAGATGTTGGGATGCCTGGGATTGAGCAGTGTTTGTTTTTAATAAACAATTGTTTGGTATCTTTTGTAAAGGATTTTGGCTTGTTATTCTCTCCACTAGACCTCAGCCAGATCAGCAGTCATCCTTATCTTCTTCCACTGATTCCATCACCTCCGCCTCCTCCTTCTCAACTCCACCCGCATCTGCCCCTTCAACAGCCCCCTCTAAGCAGGGCTGTCGCAGGCTTCTGAGTTCTGCTCCTTTAGGTGGAACAAAACCAGCATCTTTACCTCCAAACCTGGATGAAATGAAGGTTAACTTCACAAACACACACATTTTGAAGAGTGCATTGTTAATTCAGTACAGCTAACACTATTTGCTCTTTTTGCTGTTTAAAAAGCTAGAGCTGATTGAGTAACTTGTGAATGAAAGGAACATTTTCTATATTGAAAAAAGGCCCCAAAGATGTTCACCGCCTCAGAGCTAAGAAAGTGTGATTGATTAGTCTGTCTTTGTTGCCTTTTAACAATTTTTCCTTCCTTATATTCATCCTTATCTCTGTAAGATTATTAAGATTGTACTCCAATCTTAATTTCTCTGTTTTTCATTAATCATCTGTCAGGTTGCAGAACTGAAGAACGAGTTAAAGCTGCGCAGTTTGCCCGTCTCTGGCACCAAAGTCGACCTAATTGAGAGGCTGAGAACATACCAGGAACTGAATGGAGGCTGCAACAGTTCCTCGTCTCCAACAGTAGGGGGTACCACAGGGCTGACTGCTGGAGAAGAAGGAAAACCCTCTAAAACTGCTTCAACCACCATCATCAAAAATAACAACACATCACAAAATCAAACTTCTCTCCTGACTGGTAAGTCACATGATTCAATCAATCACAGCTCCTCTTCATAAGAGTTAAAAGATGATGGAGCTGTAAAGATAATGTATTTGATTTTTGCTGTGATTTTCCTTTATTTATGTTTCAGCCTCGTTCTCCTCAACATCTGTCCCACTCATCCCCTCAAAGTACTCGCAGAGCTCCATAAGTCCAGGAGATGGCAGCTTTACTTATGACCAATTTGAGGAAACGGTCTGATTTTTTTCTCTTGTACTTTCTTGCAAACATTAGTCTGATCTTAGATAACCTCCACCTTTTAATGAAAATAATCAGTTGAGCATAGTTATTGACTTGGGCCAGACCGGCATATGCCACTAATATGCGTCATACGCCGCGGCACGAGTGGTTCAGACCGGCGGCATATGCCACTCACATGCAGCATATCCCGCAGCACATGAGTGGGCCAGACCGGCATATGCCACTCATGCTGCTTCACATGATGTTAGCTTAACATCATGTTAAATAATCATTTTGAAAAAGTTTATTTATAGATTCATTTGGCTCTATGGCTGTAGACAATTTCTAACCAAAATAAGTTTGGTCTTGCAGTTCTTGCAGTTATTTATAATTAAATTTCAAGGTCTGCTTACCTTTCTTTTCATCTCTTTCTGTTCAGATGAATTCACCTCACACCCAGCTGAGCCCTCCGGCATGTTCAGCTGCTCCACTTCCAACAAATATTAAAGAAGAGCAGATGTGCTCCACCTCAGCACCTTGTAATGTTTCTTTAAAGCCAGCCTGTCTCCAGAAACATCACACGGTCTCATTAGCTGGCCTCAACACTACAACCGCAGCTCCAGTAGTGACAATAGACAAGGACAAGGTGCTGAAGGAAAAAGACAAGCAGATAGAGGAGTTGACTAAGATGCTGAGGCAGATACAGGTGGTGGTGGAGATGCTGAGTATGCAGCTGGAGCATGGTAAGAGTGGAGGACATGTACCAGAGACACACATTCTAGTAAAAGTTAAACAGGAAGCACCTGATAAGCCCAGTCCCCCTCTATCATTTCACCATCAACCATTCAACTCCACACCAGAGTCCTTTCAATGTGAGATGGATGTTGCAAAGGTTTCTGTCAAACTGGAAACCCCCGAGGCTGAGGAATGTGTTTCTGAGGCATCTGTGCAAATACCAGATGCCCAGGGATTACCAAAATCTTCCACCCAAACTCCGGAAGCGCAGGAGCAAATTCATCTCCAAATCAAGTCAGAGCAGACAAGCACTCACACAAAACAACTCTTACATCTCCATCAAAGCCCTCAAGTGGCGCAGCCAGTGGCCATACAGAAACACTTGCTAAAGCATCATCACAACAGTCAGAGCCGGCAGCAGAAGCCTCAGAACCGGGATCTGAAGGCGGAGGATCAGCAGAACCTGCAGAAACTTCCTCAGCGGAGAAAAAATCAAAGTAACAAAAAACAGTTTAAACAGGAGCATCACCAGATGCAGCTGAAGCAACTGAAGTCATTTCTGCAGCAGCAAAATAAACAGCAGAAGATGGAGCAGACGCAAACAGCAAAGTTACAAACAGAGAAACAGTTCAAGCAACAACAGGTTAGGAAATGTCAACATCATTGATAATACACTGAATTTTTATCCACAGTTTCAAGGTATTTGTTGAATTACCGGGAAGATTATTTTTTTTGGAGAAGTATCAAGTTTTTCACTTACAGATTTTCTGTTGGTTTCCCACAGGTACCTCAAGCAAACCTAAACCAGCAAACAGGTTCAGCCCCTTTAACTCTACATCTCCTTAAGAGGGACTCCAATCAAACTCTGGTCACCGACATCCATGGTAACCATTTTCTCATTGCACTGACAAGTCACATCACTGACAACCAAAGAGCAGATGCACCTGTGAGCAAAGCAGCCAATCACAACGGACTACAGGTACGCACATGATTCATCAACCTGCTATTTTCTGGTGTGCTTTGATAATTATATTCAGCCTTTTGCAATGGTTATTCTAACAACTCTCTTAACATGAACATTATCCTCATGGGAAAAAGTGTACTTCAGCTAAACTTCCTGAACACAAACGTTTTCAGCTTTTCGAGTTGATAATCAAACCAAACATAGTTAGCATACCGGACTTCAGTAACAACGAGAGTCAAAGACGTATTCTTGTCAAGATACTAGTGGTTCAGTTCACTACAACAGGAAAAAAAAAAACCTTTCTCAAATATATGATACGGTGTGACTAGGCATATGCACATGGCAGCCATTTTTCTCTTTTTATTGGTTAGCAACTACTGGCACAAGATAGGAAAAAAAATGGCTGTAATCTGTGTTTGTTTCAAGTTGAACACCATATAGGCTACTTGATAACTTGCAAGTTCCCGACAGACAACAATTAATGTTGTTAAGTTAATTTCTTAGTTAACATTACTGCTTTATGTAATGTTACATGATAGGATAAGACTGGAGTTAATTCCAAGCGAACATTAATGTTAGCCACTGTGGTGTAGCCCGTCAGCTTGGAAACTAAGCAATGCTGTAAAGTAACCTTGCTAGTAAGCTCGATATGATGACATGCAACATTTCTGCTTTCCATATTAATACCTTTACCATTATCAAAAGGACTTGGAAATGTGGCCTATTGTCCCTCCAACAATCCATTATCTTTTCAGCTGCTTATCAATAAGAAAGCGACGACATGACAACAAATTGGCAGATTCCTTACATTGATACAATTTGCAATCATGAACACATCAGTGCAACAATATGCTGTTGAAACAACATAACATTTTCTGAGCGTGACTCAAGAGGAAAATGGCTGCTGGGTAAATACAGTGAAAAGTTAGGGGTTGAAAATGGTCAACATCTGTGGATTGATTTTAAAACAAGTATGTGAAATAATTTAGGAACAGAGAGACAATTTCAATGTTTACACACTTCTTATTTTCTATATTTCATCAAACTAATGTAGACACACACTTCATTCTTGACAAAGCTCCTGACACTTGAACAACAGAGCAGACTGTTAATACTCCATAAAGAAAAAGCCAAGGGCGACAGAACTGCGCCAGTAAGTCCAACAGCAGTGGAAATTAATGATGTATGCTGTTTGAGACAGTGACAGCATCACTTGATAATAGTGTCTGACACTATCATGATGCTGATAATTATTGCTTTGCTAATTACTCAGACGACATCCTCCATTAATGTGATTAATGTTGTTAAACGAAGATGAACAAAGACAACATTGTGTCACTGCTGACTGAGATATACAGCATCTCTCCTCGAGTGCAGGTGTGCCAAATAAAAGTATGCAAAAAAAAAGGAAGAAGTCAAGATTTAGTGGAATACTCTGAGCTGATATTATTGTTATAAGCAATCCATTTTGTTTTCCTTACCTGTCCCATGGCAGCAATTATTTTAGTCTGGAAGCATAGAATGAAAATAAAAAACAAATTTACCCCAAAAGTTTCAGCCAATGTGGAAGTGCCTTATAGCTGCAGTCTTCCTAATGGCCTGACAGTGGCTGCTGTGTCGCTAGCAATAAATAGTCCAATTGTATAGAAGTCTATGACAAAATAACTTTCTTCTTTCTACTTTTATTTCAACAGTAAACATTTTTGTAATGACATCATGGTCTCAATGGCTTGTTTTACATTTTCTTCAACAGAACATGATGGTTTAAAAAAAATAAAATAATGGTTTCCGTTTGTGTAAAATTAGTAAGCTATAGCTTTAGCTAGAAGTTATTGACATGGCTCCCACTGCAGTCTTAAAAATGCCTTGTTTAGGGTTTTCTTTTTTTTTTTTTTCTTTTTTTTTTTTTAAATGGGACTTGAATGATATATTAAAAATGTTCCAAGCCAAATTAGCATCTTTATTAAATCTACAGTTGCAGTAAATTTGGGATGTACCTTTTTAACCAAAATATTGCTTGTGTCATCTAATCATCTTTGTTTTAATAGCCCTTGGCTCCTATCCAGTGTCACCATCTTGTCCAAATATAATGCTCACATCTGGCTCCAGAATACCAAAATGGCAACAGCCAATAAACTAAGGCATCAGAGCGGTTTTCTACCAACCAATAGTTTGCTCTAATTTTCTAATTTTCCAAAATGCAACCAGAAAAAAAAATCCCAAATACAATTGAGAGGCTTCAAAACATTTCATAAAAGGAAGGTAGATGTTACCGTTTCATCCACATCTACTGCTTAAATAATGTCTCAGGGTTGTGTAGGGAAAGATGCCGTTTGATATCAGATGTTTCTAAAATGATGTGTGTGCCACTGAATACTGTTTCCCAGTGAGAAATCTTAATCCTTCCACTCTGTTGTTTTATTATTATAAGGCAGTGAATGGGGGACTTCAGGTGTCTTTATACCAGGAACAGAAGGAAGTTGCATCACCACCTTCCACCCGTGAGCCTTTCAACAAGCACCAGGAGAAATCTGTCTCACAAAGAAACACCTTCCCTTCCTCTCAAAAAGGAGTAAGTAATCTCCACACGACATGGACAATCTTTCAAGTGACCTACATAACCTGAGCAGACTGTAAATGATTTTCATTATTAACTCAGTCTTTGGAAAGTGGATAACATTGATGTTTTTTTGCACTTCTTTCTACACTACTTTAGGAGGTGTGCCCTAGTCTGGATGATTTGTTGAGTCCTCTGTCTTCAGCCTCCTTGAAGACACCTGCTCCATCATCTGAATGCAAAGTAACAACACCATCATTTGACAGTATCATTGTGCTTAATGAACTGAGTTTTTATAATATAACATGTTGGATGTGAATGGCATGTGGGTGGTGAATTGTACATGGCAGTTTTAAAATGTATCACTGATGACTACTGTTCCTAGGATACAGGGTATGAAGAAGATTTTCTTGACGACTTTTTGCAGACAGGAGGTAAGATGCACAAAATAAATGAATGCTGTTTGCAGGGTTTTTTTTAAAAATTATTTTTACTTTGAGCCTTGATGGTTTTTAGTTTTTTTAGTTTTTTCAGAGCAGTGTTTTATTTCTTTTCTGGGTTTTTTTCCCTTCAGAAATGTTGTCCACCTTCAAACAAGCCCCAGACTTCTTTCAGGACAGTCAACATCCAAACCCTTCCATCCAACCCTGCTTGGGCATCCCGCAACCTGCCCCTTTTGGGCAGTCCGAGCTTCAATCACTGGCGGACACAACAGATGAGAAGCGGCACATCAGTCGAGGACGACTTGAGGACTTTCTCGAAAGCACCACCGGTAAGCCTCTCCTTGGGGTGGAGCCTGGCGGTGCGCTGACATTAATTGATGACCTGCACAGTGAAATGCTGTGCACTCCAAGCATCCTGGACCCTCCCCCATCTCCAATGAATACCCTTGACATAGATGCCGAGGGGGAGCAAGGGCCGGACAATATAAATTGGTTGGATTTCAACGTGGGAGGACAAAAGACAAAGGAAGCCATGACACTGGACCCATTGGGAACCCAAGCACCCCCTAGTGTCTTTTCTACAGACTTCCTGGACAGTTCTGACCTTCAGATACAATGGGACCCCTGCTTATAGCAAACATACAACACAAAGAATGCACTTATAGACACCTGCAACACATGAATTTGATTAATCAGGATCATTATGCCACTAGAACATTCTCTCTTTACCTTTTGGTTTAATGGATCGTCACATACTTTGGCCTTTATTTTATTTACACACAGCACTACTGCTTTTTGTACTATGTGCTTATCAGGCAGGTCCAATATCTAATCTTGATTCTATAGCAAAAAAGTGATGTGAGGGTTTATTTTGACACTATTTTGCTCATGTATGATAAAATAGAAGCCATACAACCGGGCTTTGTAAGGTTGATGTGTAGTTTGTAAGAAACAACAAGCAAACCCCAGACACGTGTGGCTAACTTAACTGTCTGCAGAATTCTCCAAAACAGCATTAAGGAAGAGGCACAGACCCAAACCATTACAATACAAAGATCCACAAAAGTGTTAACAGGTTATGCATTAAAAAACATTCAACATTAAACATGCAGGGAATGTTGTGTATTGTTGTTGTCCATCATGTCTCAGAAAAGTCTATCATTTAGTTTGACATTTGTCTAATTGGAGTGCAGCTCATTCTCTACCTTTTAAAGTAAGGATAATCAATCGTCAACCACCGCAGGAAAGGTGGCAATAATCAATAACAAAAGGTAGAGGGGGAAAAAAAGAAAAATCAATTTTCGGACATGTAATAGATCATCTATTGGAGTAGAAATGGGTTAAGTATCTCTTGTTCTTCTTAAAGAGACTTCAAACAGTTACTGCTCCCAGCCAAGAACTAGAACAGAACATTACCTCAGTAAGACAGGAAATTATTTGTTATTTGTTTTAAGTTTACAGCATAAAACTAATCATAAAGCATTGATCAGGGATCTTTTGAGATACTGGTATGTGCATGTTCACGCACACACACACACACACACACACACGCACACGCACGCACGCACGCACGCACGCACGCACGCACGCACGCACACATGCACGCCTGCACTCGGTGGTTAAAAAGTGCTATGCAAAAAGTGAGTCAGAAGAGGGTGGAAAACAGGACATGGGTGGGCTTGTGAGGGAGGCGTGTGATTGGCTGATAAAAAACTCTTTAGCTAATAATGGAGGGGAGCAGAGGATGCCAGGCGAACATCTCTGCAACAGTGGGCATCCCAGGCTTCCCACTGGAGCCCATAACAAAAGAGAGCGTGTGTTTATGTGTGGGTGAATAAACAGCTGCTAAATGTACATTTCAGTTCTTCCACTGATGTCAGATATTGTCTGAATCTGAAATCCCCAAATAGTTAGGCGTCCTCGGAGGGCAGACTCCCTCCTCACTCGTTGATCTTTCATATCTGCAACTTCCTTTCATCCACCCTCAAGCTTCTCCGACACAAACTCGCACTGAAGAGGGGTAGGAGTTTGGGTCTCTGTGGAACATCAGGCAGACTTCAGTACAAGCAATTCATTTGGTATTGATTGCTCTTTAAGGGAATTACAGCATTTTCCTATTTAATAGATTAGGGCATGTAAATAATTTGAAGATTTTGAAATGCTCCAGTAGATTGCGTCAGACAGCAACCGCAGCACAAGTGTAACAGCTGCAATGTAATCCTTTGGTGCATATACAAGGTGAGCCAATCAAGCAGCTAAAGGGCATGTTTTTGCAACTGAAAGACCTCGATTGTAAATCCAAGTGAATGACAACATTAAATTAAGACTCCCCGTCACTACACGATTTGACCTTAGAGCAGTGATTACCTAAGGGTGTGTGTGTGTGTGTGTGTGTGTGTGGTGGATGGATATCTCGCTTCAACTAACAGTGGGTACACTAAGAGCGACCACAGTGTGTGTTTTGCTGGAGCATTAGCTGCGGTTGGAGTTTCCATCAGTTGTGATTGATGACCGTGTAATCAGGCAGCTTGTGAGAAAAACAAACACACGAGGAAGAAGGTTATAAAAGGATTTTGAACAAAACAAACAGCAATGATACGTGCTGTTATGCTACTGTTGCATAGTGTTACAGCTAACACTCTCACACACGCACATACACACACACACACACACACATTCTGGACTGGGTTTTGCAGGGACTCTTGCCATAAGGCAGCCTGAAGTCATTCTGCAGATGCTTTGATGCATCCTGGTACAACAGTGGGGGGTCTCCTTGTGATGTGGAGGATTTTTAGTACTTGTAACCATACACAGGGAAACACATGCTTTCACATGTACAAACTAAAAGTACAAGAACTAGAACTCCTACAAGGTAAAAACTGGTGAAGAGTTATGGATGTGGATCACATACTGTGTGTTTAGAGACGAACAATTGTGTCAATTTCTGGCTCTTTCTTTTGGGATTCCACTCGAGTCGCTTTACATAACTTACAGTTGAAAACAATCCTTATTATATCTTTAACTCGGGCTTTGTGCAGCTTCTCAGTTTAGTCTCTTTCGGAAATGAGTCATTGTAACTCCTACCCCTCGAAGCCTCTGCAAAAAGTCAACAGAAGCAGCTCACAGCAGCAACCTGCATGAGCAACACGATTGAGCATAGTAGTTGGTAAACTTCCTACACAGGCATAGTGTGTAGCAGCCCCACTCTGACATCTGCGCCACTAATGCATGTCCACAGCAGGTCCCGTTTGTACATGTGTGTGAGAAGCATGTCTCTCAATAACAGAGTGTAAAACCAGAATGTCCCCTTTTTTAATAAAGTACGTAAAAGTTATAAAAGTTCAATGAAAACCGAGCATGAGAGGAGAATCTTCAGAAATCAGAGAAACACTGCTGTTTGACATCCTCAACCAAGCATCGATGAATACTTCTGCACAAGACATCAGAGTCTAGGCATCACCTTTTAAATCATGAGGTAACCTCAGAATGACAGAGGTCAAGCCAGTGTCAACAAAACTTAAATACGTGACCTTGCTTCTGTTAAAATTGTTGAAGTCAACAACACCTTTGACCAACTCGACATAATCATTAAACTCCTTTTATTCTCTCTCTCTGTTGTTGCTTTCACTGAGAGACTCCTTGCGGCGCAATGTGAACTTTACCTGTTTAGTGCAGGTTCAGTTCATTTACACTAATGTGAGCGCTGTCAAAACAACAATGTGCCCACCTGCAAACACACGTCTTCGGCGATGACTAAGCCGACAAAACTCCCGATGTGAAGGCCTCCGCTGTCACAAACTATCCAGCGATGAGACCGAGTGTGGAGCTGCTGTCTTCTTTGATTAGATGCGACAGTCCTTTGAAAGCTTGGGTTACTTCAGACAAAACGTCATGACACATCGGCAGAGTGAAATTAATTCAGGGCTAGCATCAGTGGTTGGGTAAGGGTGGGTGGATCTTCCTACTAAAACAGAATCCTTTCAAGCTGAAAATAAAAATGCAGGAGAGATAGGAATGAGAGAGAGCAGCACCTGAGCAGAATAAGGTACAACATGTCTTCTTAGTACTGTAAGAGACCCTCAAGGTCAAAGCAGGCGAGCTCCAGATGACACATAATATGCTAAATCTGGACGGCTATAATGGAAACCTGCTGCGATGAAATGTTCATTCTGACACTCACAAAATTATGCAGACGCACACTGAACAGGCACGGTCCAGCTCCAGCTGCATGAGCGGACAGAAAATGCTGACGGGAGCTGTCACATACACATGCAAATGTGTAAAAACACACACACACACACACACACACACACACACACACACACACACACACACACACACACACACACACACACACTATAAGAAATACAAGAATGCATTAGTATTCCTGTATTTACGGCACAGTTGATGTAGGCTCATATTTCTACTGTTAGTATGCGTCGCAGCTAAAAACCCTGTATTATGTGCACTGTCTCTGTTTTTTTATTTCTCCATATCCCTCTCTCTCTCTCTTTCCCTCTCTCTCCTGAGCTCCTTGGTCCTGTAGGTTCCTCTGGATCGTTGGTGTGGACGGCCTGCTGCTGTGAACCCCTCCGCCTCTAACGGCTACAACTATTAATATCAGCCTTTCTTCTATCATCATTATCATAAATATTAAAGTACATCTCAGAGCTGCTCAACTTCAACCTCGATAATTAACAAAACCAGTCCTCCCTGTTTCATCATCATTACAGTAGCTAATGTTAATATTAGACTGATCAGTCTATTATCATACTTAGCGGTTACTGCTAACATTACACATACTTTTAACATTATTACTGACATTATAGCTATTAAAATATCTTATTCCTTGTTGTTGTTGCTCTGTCTGTTGTTTCTGTCCATCTGATTCTTTCTTTCATTTTCCAAGCTCAAGGATGTTTTTTCTTGCCACTGTAACTTTGCTAAATGCTGCTTAGTGCTGTGCTCCTGATGGAGCAATGTTGGGTCTTTGTAGATAATATAACAAAGAGTAAGGTTCGACTTGCTCTTTTGTAAAGTGTCTTGCGACAACATTTGTTTTGAAATCAAATAAAGATTGATATTTTTTCAAGATTTATTTTTGTGTCTTTCTTGGATAGACAGGAGAGTGGAAAGAGTTAGAAATTTGGGCAAGAGAGAGTGTGAAATGACATGAAGGAAAGGACCCAGAGGTCAGATTTTGACCCGGGCTGACCAGCCCCTGTACATGGGGCGTGCAAACGAACCACCCGGCCATCAGCGCCCCAGAATGTTGATTGTTTGATGAATGTCCACCAATGAGTCTGGATTTGTTGGAGGTTCATGTCTGTTAAAAGGATTTCTTTCCGACTGCATGGGGTCCAATTAATGAGTCTGCTACTGTTCAATGTTTCTGTGCAAGTAGAACGTTTATTCCCTCAGTGACACTGGTCCTTGCTTTTTTTTTGCCAAGTGTTCGCTCCTTATTGGACTAATGTAGGGCCTCTGTCAAGTATTTTAAAATTTCGTCTAGACTGCTTGAATTTCAAGACGTTAATTAGTTGTGTTTTGGCGCAATCGATTGATGGCACAACCGAGCTCATGTGGGGGGAAAGGGAACATGAAAAATAGATGTGTGAGGTAAAATGAAGTTATTTATTACAAAAGAAGACAAACTGAGTAACAAAACAGAGTGAGGCAAACAAAGGTCAAATCACCAACATAGTTAAACAGAACGTGGATCCAAACCAGAGTGTGAAACTAACTTCCTAATTAGTGGAAATAAATGAAAATAAAACCCAAACTTACTACTCAAATGGCCCAAATCAACCTGGTGTTTCTAACATAAAACTAAACTAATGAGAGTGTGTATGTGTTTAAAGCTAAACTATCACCTGGCCCATCAAATGCCTCACAACGTGCTC